TTTGATAATCCGTTAAAACATCTTTGACCGGTTTGTTTTTGTAAAATTCAACGTCGAAACTGAAGGTTGAACCAATCCTTACTGCTTGTCTGGATCGAGCACTAGAAGAATAATTTGAATAGTCTTCAACCGAGGCCTTGGTAACTTGGGGGGCTTGTTTTAATTTTTTTCCCTTTGTTAAGACTTTCTTCGGTTTGGTCTTCGGCTTTAATTGAGTTACTGTGGATCTATATGATTTTTCCGAAGTACTTGAACCTCTATTTACATCTGGATATTTAGAAGAATTTACTCCGACATCTCTTAAATGGCGTCTGTTAATCCTTTCCAAACACTCATAAGGATTACATTCTCCAGGGATACATGTAAAAGGCTCACATTCATATGGTTCGAGTGATCTCATATACTTTTTTTTAGTTCTGGTCGCTTTATTTGAGGTTTCCGTATTATAATACAATTCATCAACCGTTTTAGTACCAACAGTGAGCATTTTATTCTTTTTAATTTTAACGTGCTCCTTCTTTTGTATTTTTAAGGTACAAAAACACCTCTTTAAAACGGTACTCATAGATACATCTCTTGCTTTTCTATACACTTGCGTTGGCATATTTTCGTGAAAACCTATTGCATCTCCTTGAATTGCCTGCACTTTCACTCGTTTTCTTTTTGGAATTGATTTATATTTAGGTTGAACGGAGATCGTTTTCAAATCTGATGGATATGATAAATGTTCTCCAGGCCTATTTTTATAAAATTCAATGTTAAAACTAAAGGAGGATCCGATACGCACAGCTTGTCGGCCAGGCGTATGAGGTATATTTCTTTGTTGTATTTTAAATGTTGTTTCATTTCGTTTAGAAGCAGCATTATATGAATACATTGATTGTATAAATTTTGCTTTAGAGAGTTTATTAGATTTAGGTGTAATAGTTGAGGTAGATTTTGTTTTTCTTGATGTGCAAGTAGAACAAGGTGTTGAACGCCGTCTAGCTTTCGCTTCCCTCAAATTAATAAGTTGAATGCATTGATATGGATCACATTCACCTGGAATACAAACACCAGGCTCACATTCGTAAGGAAGAAGCTGTGGTGACCTAAACTTTTTTTCACGTCTATTTCTTTTTTGGTTATTAGTTTGAACTTTACTTGATTTCTTGTACAGTTTTTCACATAACAATTGTTCACACATGTCGGTTGAGCATTTTATGTTACACTGTGTGAGGGATGAAGTCTCAGTGAAAATTGACTTTTCAAGTGGTTTATTTCTTCTTCTATTTCTTGCTTTGGACTTTAGTTTTAAGGTGCAAAAACAGCGTTTTAATGAGTGTGCTCGAGTTTGTGTATCTCTAGAGGAATGTTTCGTAACAACTTGAGTAATTCCCTTATCATGTAAATTCTTTGGACGTTTAACCATTTTGTTTTTTGATCCTGACTTGCTTTGCTTTGTAGCAGTAACATTTCCTTTAGGAACCTCTGCCTTGGGTATTCCCTTATATAACTGAACGTTTAAAGAAAAAGATGAACTTATCCTTACACCTTGTTGGGGACTTGATTTTTTCTCAGGGGTTTTAACAACTTTCGGAGACATTCCTTTATCTACCCTTTCTCTCTTACTAATAATTTTACTTTTTTGTTTCGTATCAAATTGTTCACCGCTCGCAATTTGATCAGCTTGACCTTCTGTCTGTTGAGTGCGTAAAATAGGTTTTTGTTTACCTTTCGGTGGAGGAAACATTAACTCTTCTTGTACCTTAGCATGTTTTTGTTGTATAACAGGGCCAGACTTTTTTTGAAGATGAGCTTGTCGATATTCAATACCTCTATGTTTAACACCTTTATTTCTACGCTTACGTTCAAGCTTAATAAGACACTCCTGTGGATCACAAGGACCTTCAATGCATTCAGGACCACACTCCCATTCTTTCATTATTTGTTTTCTTATAAGATCTTCCTTATACTTCATAAGACTGTCTTTTTTAACTTGGAATGCTAAGTCTTTACCTCGAGCGAATTGTGTTTCAGAAGTCCTAGTTGAAATTTTTCTCCCTCCTCCTCTACGCGGTTTTTTAAAAGCTTGATCTTCGGGACAGATACAAATAACACTCTCTTTTTTTAATTGAGCAGCTAAATTATTTTCAGGAGCAATCTGAGTTTGTGAACCTTTAGATGAAATTTTCCCCTCCTTTTGTTTTCGACTAATTGTGGATTTGACTACTGATTTAAGTTTTTCTGTAGCTTCCACCACTTTTTCTTTTGATCTTTTAGTGTGAACACTAAATGAAGATTCTTTAAGTGATTTTTTCAAGCTTTTATCTTCTGGGCAGATACATATAACACTCTGCTTTTTTAACTGAGCACCTAATGTTTGTTCCGGAGCTATTTCAATTTGGGAACCTTTAGTAGCAACTTTTTTAACTTTTGGTTTTCGGCTAACTGTAGATTTAACTACTGATTTAAGTTTTCCCTTAGCTTCCATAATTTTTTCTTTTGATCTTCTGGTATAAACGCTTAATAGTGACTCATGTGGCCTTTCAAAAATTTCATCTTCTGAACACATACAAATAGCTAAAAGATCATTTAATTGAAGCTCACTTATGTTTGAGTGTCTCTTTTCATCTCCTCTAACCTTCGATTTTAAGCTTCTCCGTGCTTGCTTTAACTGAACTGCAGAATACTGAGTGTCCAGATGTAAATTTTCTTGTATTTTCGTCTTTGACTCTTTAGCCTTTTTAACTCCTTCTAAAAATTTTTGCTCCATTTCTTTGTTAACATGCTTGATGTTTTCGTAAGACCTATGTACAAAGTCTCGCACTCTTCTTTGTTTATTTTGCCTTTCCTCGTCCGTTGTGGTATAGAATTCAGTGGATTCAGGACGGTGCTTTCTTCTAAAAACTTCAGTCGCATGGTGTTTGAGATGCGAACTCAATTTTAAAGCACAGGTGCATGGATCTGATCTTATGTGTTTTGTTTTAAAACGCACACCTTTTCTTCTACGATGTGTTTCAGCCATTCTTTCTTCTTTGAATACTCTTCGTTCCGGCCCATGACCACGTCGCATATGTCTTACATTGCCTCTAATTCCTTTAGAATCACAACTACAACAGCTACAACATTCGCCTAATCCTAAAGTGGCACCTTTATCGACAAGATTGACTAATTCAAAAATTGCCGCACTCCCTTTTTCCACGTCATCCAATTCCCTTGACGATTTCTTCGTCGCTTTTGTACTAAGACTATGGGTACTATCAGAAAGCAATCTTGCTCTTATATCATCATATTCTGCTCTAGTTCTAACTAATCTTTCAAGGAGCTTCCTTTCTCGTAACGGAATATACTTGCCGTAATAAAGGCGGTCTATTCGAGATCCATGGGCCATGAAACGTTTGACAGAAGCATTTTCTGATCCAGACTTATAAGTACAAGATGTACATGAACAGTTCGGTAGCCCTGTGTGAACCTTACGCACAGTCTTCATAATGTGTTGCTTTTTCTACACAAAATCATAAGAATACAACACAATACTCCAAAAAACGGGATTCTCTAAGCGTCATACTTTCAGTTTCACAAAATAATTTATAGACATGCCACAGTTTCGTACACCTGCAACCCCAAAACCATCTTAAATCCTTATTACAGCATAAATTAATAGATTTTCTTGATTTTACTAAATGTTTCTCATGATAAAATTCTTATAAAATAATTATATAAAGAAAAGAAGAACCTTACCGGACATATACACACATATATAGATAAAACCTTCGACTTCACATTTCGTCGGAAATTTTACTAAATCATTTATATTGTCAGCTCTTAAACATATTTGTCATTGCCTCCAAAAAGACATATATCTTAAATAATTTATCGTATTCCTGAATACCACCTCTACATAGATAAAAATTTAGAAACATTAAAAGTCAACATTTTTTTATCTTATAAAAGTATATGCAAAATAGTTTTATTGAATGCCAGTATTCTAAACTCAATATAATTACTAACAAAATGTGAGTTTTGTATCACATACCTTTTTGGTTTTAAGTATAGCGATTTTAGATTTAAATTTTTACTGCTAAAATTGATACCGCGAAAAAAAAACATCCCAAAATATAAAGTCAATTCTTTATTGATATAAAACATGTAATTTATTAGATATAAATGTCACTCCTATTAATAAGAAAAAAAATAAAACAAAATAGCTTTAAGCGTGTAAAACTGTCCAACTCTACTTATTTGTATTAAATTCTTGTTTATATTGCTTTGTTTTTAATTCAACCATCCAGAAACTAAAGTTTTAACAATATAATATCAAATTTAGAGTTTCAAAAGTTCTAATACCAGGCAGCTCTAGTTCAAATCTGTTTTTGGAAAGCTGCAATACGCATTCATGACTGAGGTGAGTGACTTGCAGGAGAGACACCTGCGTGACAGGTTGTATAAAAGTTAGCCTCCAACTAACTTACCGTGAAGTTTCAAAGTTAGTCCCATGCAAAAAAACTTTTAACACATACATACACTGATAACACACTCACTATAAGTATCACCCAACGTTCACTAAGAATTAAGTTATTAAAGTTTTTTCGTGAGTAATCGACAAGATCCCGCACGACAAGATACAACATCCATTCACGAATAGCTGAAGGAAACTAAACTAACGGACACACGGGAAGCAGCAAGCACGTTGCATGGCTGTTATAAACAATTCGTTACTTCATTTCCACAACTACGCCATCTATAATCATCAATGAACAAATATTTTGAACAACTGAATAGGTGTATATTACAGTAATAGTCCTACTGCTCACTACAAGATGGCGCTTTCCACAAAATCATTTCACTAAGTAATTATGTAGTTAACTTTGTAATTAAAATTATTTTCATCTTAAATGGGAGTATATGTATAAAAAGATTAACTTATAATGACAATAATACACAAAACGCTGAAATTAACATTTATTACATAAATATAAACATGTCAAAATTTACATTAGTAATCACTATATACAATATTATGATTTTTCTTGATTTTCAATTTCTTCAGAATCAGTTTCGGAATCACTGCTAGATGGCCACATAGATCTTGTATCTTTCTCAGATTGTGCAGATTGTAAAAATTTATTCTGTGCTTCAACCACACTCTTGCTGTCGGAACAACTTGAATAAATATCTAACACTTCGGAGTTCAGTTCTAAAAATGAATGGCCCCATGAAAACTTAGATAAGTAAAATGAAGCCTCCTTCCGGTGTCCTGTTATAAACATAGCTGCGGCCAGTGCCTCAACGCAGCTCAGCTGATACGGTTTTCCATAATTAATCGGATTAGCAGCAACCAAAAATGGCAACAGTCTAGGATGTGCCGATTTCATTCTACCAAATGGAGTCTCATCAATTTTCGCCCATGAACAGTCAATTACAGCTAAGCCAAATTTTTCAATAATTTCTTTGTCATTAGGACTTACACACTGTGTACCGACTGGAGATAAAACAAGGCCTGGGAATCTCTGGCCCAGTTTGAGATTTTTTATAAGGTTATGTCGTGAGAGTTTTCTTCCAGAGCACTTTTTGGGGTCGCAGTGATTTAAATCCCACATGCTAATGGCAAATGAAGGTGGAACACCTTCATCATCGGAGTTTTCTGTGCTTTCCCCGCTTTCCTCTGACGAATGTAGACTCAAATCGTGTAGTCTTTCAGCATAATTACGTTCCACGTGTTGATTTGATCGTTTTCCTCGTACGGCACCTTTTTTACCTGGGGCCATGTTATAATTCTTCGATCCTTTTAAATTATAATTCACGTGAGTTTATTTACTTCAGTACTGATTCTCATATTTGTTGTTTAGTGTTTTGTCAGATGTCACTGTCCGATTGAAATTGACAATTCCCTTTATTCAGAAACTTTGAACATACTTTTTGTCTCTTGTCATTGACTATCTGCTAGGTACTAAATAATATGTTTAGTTTGTAAAATATGTACAGCTATTTAAATTACTAGACATATTAGTCTTATGGAAAATTTTAAAAATATTGTTTTTTTGTAATTACACACTTTAAATAGGCATAAACATACATACTTTTTGTAGTATTTCTTATAAAACATTAAAATAAAAATAATTAACTGACATAACTCACATTTATCGGCATCAAATTTTGAAAAAGATATTTGAGCTGTGTTTTTATTGTAACGGAATATAAATAAATTCAAGATTGATTTTACACGGGGCAGGATGAGCAGCGCCTCAATGGCGGGTAAGTTTAAAATGTTTGTAAAACATTTGTAAATCTTAGAACACAGATTTTATAAATTAAAGATACCTAGGTATTATTGTGGATAATTCAAGAGTTTACTGAATTCAGAGAAATATATTATGGTTTTCTGTACTTTAAATATAAATCTCCCTTAATTTTGTATTGAATATGTTACGCACTTCTATCTCTGATAACATTGATGAGAGGCCTTTTTATTTTATTTAATTTCAATGATAGGTGTTGTTGGTTCCGCTTAAATTTCTTGCTTTATCAGAAAATAGTTTCATTTGAAGTATGTATTATATCTTAAACTTATAACTCATAATAAGTCTAACCTTATACTGTTCAGTATCTAGAACTTAATATTTATAAAAAAGGAATGAAAAATATAATCGTCAAATTCTTGACATTTTTTTTGTATAACTCATGTTTTTTGTATTCTGCTTTTAATTCTTGTTGTTTTTGACTCCACTGGTTTAGCCAATTATTATCTATTGTATTGTTTATTGAAAACTAATACACTGAAGAAAAATAAACAAGAAAAGTATAAAAATCCATAAACAAAATTCGGTTCTATAATTTATTAATGATTTTTTATTAATGTTCTACATGTCCTAATTTAAATTTAACATACTTACACTTACATTTAGTATTTTTTTTCTAAGAGAAGTATTGAGTTAATAAAAAATTAATTTATAAGTTATGATGATCTTCACCGTAAAACATCACTACTCTTTTGATATTTACATTTTTTTAATAAAAATATTAAGTTTTAATTTTAAATGTGTTGAGTTAGTTCTCGAAGCAAAATAAGGAGCAAGGTTAAGCAATTTCCCTGACAGTCATAATGTGAGTCACGCCTGCAGTCTTAAACAAACAAGTCATAGAAAGGTAAACTTTGATAATAATTTAGAGCAAAATTTCCAAATACCACATTACACATCAGTTGATTTTACCATAATTATTGCTGACTCAAGCACTATAGCTACAGGTAATGTAATTCCATTATTTATTTTATTTTATTGTACAGTTAATGAAGATCTAATAGATATGAGGTAATTTGCTCGACATCATTGTTTGTGAATGTTTTATATGTATCGATCTTTGTTCATTCTATATAGTGACATTTTTATTAAGCCACTAACTGTCGCCGGATCCACTTGTGTACGAAAACCACGGTTAGTTTTATTCTATGAACTAAATATTCACTAACGTTTTTATGTAAAAAGTAGTATAATAATTTATTAGCCATTAATAATAATTCCGCTAAAGAGGATGAATATGCGTTGTATTATTTATTTTTAATGACATTAAAAAAAAGGAATTGCAATGTGTTACATTCTTGAGTTTTAAGATACATAATTATTTAATTCAGTGAATATATTTAAATATCTTTTATTAATTAAACTACGTACCTTATTAGGCAAAGGTTTTTTTTTAAATCATTGTATTTGAAAATAATATTCTTTGCGTAAACAGAATTGTGTTTTTTGACAATTCTATTCTGAATTAACTCCTAATGTCTTCATTTTATTATCATTTATGTTGTTAGAGATTTTAAATATTTGATTCATTTCCCAAATATACGACTTCGATCACTTCATCAATACCACCCATCTTTTATGTTAAACTAGCTTTCCACCCGCAGCTTCGCCAGCTTGGAGTGCGGTTATATCGCGTTTCTAAGAGAATCTTTCAAAAGTAAAATTTTCAAAGTCAACTCCATCTCTGTACCAAATTTCAATAAAATCAGTTCTGTGGTTTAGGCGTAACAGACAGACAGACAAAGACAGAGTTACTTTCGCATTTATAATATTAGTAGGGATAGAAGTTTAACATGGTACTTATAAAGATGGGTAATTTCAATATGAATGGAAATTACATCGTAGTATGTATGATATGACAAGTATAGTCTATGAAATATATGTACATATGTTAGCACAGATTGGAAAATATATATATGAAGACTTCCTCATTTAACAAGATCATATACAGGATTTAATAGCGTGGGTTGGGTTGAGTCATTGTGATGTGCTCATTGAAGCGTAACTAAATCTCTAGGCAAGGACCACGCTTGGTCTTTGATACTTGTTTGAGATTTAAAATATTACTTGCATCTCTTTATTTATTTTATAATCATATGTAAATCAATTTCTTTTATTCATTTTTTATTCTTTTAAATACTAATACCACTAAAAAGTTTAAATTCTTGAACAGCATTTTTTCTGACTTAGCAAATAGCAGGTATGGAACGACAAAAACATTTATAATGTATTTTATTTACTTCAGTTGTATAAGATTCAGTTTCAATCCATATACACACAATTGAGAGTACTTATTATATATAATATACACTAGCTGTTACCCGTAACCCCGTCTAGGTTAAAAAAAAATTAAAAAACATTTAAGCGCCGCATGCGCCCCGCCTCGCGCTCAAGCGTAAAAACGCTTAATTTCGGAATCGGGATTCGGGGTCGATATTAAAAGTAGCCTAAGTCACTCCTTATTATATCTGCTATCTATCAATATAAAAGCCGTCTAAATCGGTCCAGCCATTTCGGAGATAGCAAGACACAAACAGAAGGACAAAAAAAATATTTTGTTTGTACCATTTATATATTTTTACATAGGAATGTAGTTAAAACAGTTTTTTAACCATTACAAACAGACACTCTAATTTATATGTATGTATACATTTGTAAAGGTGATTGAGGTTCCGTGGAATTAATAGAAACCAACAATATTTTCCTTGACTACTTTCTGAATATCAAAAAGTAGATTTTTCTGACGTAAGTATTTCATTTTCTGCAAAAATTTAAAACGCCAACTGTCAACTGTCATTTGTCATGTTCACCTGTTTTCAAATTAATCGAAGGCCGACTAAATCACTTTTAAATAACATTGAAAATTCTAACAAGCGATGTACGGTATCGATTTTGTAATTATGAAATGGATAATGATAGCCAGACAATTGTTTGAATATTGTATGATATATATTTATTATTCAGGCAAAAGTTTCCGTCTGTCTGCCTGTGATTATTATCATTATATTGGTAGTAAAATTTAGAACTAATGATAGATTGTATATATATAAATTATTTACGGTTTTTATTGATGAAGAAATTGAAAAAGAAAATCTAAAAGATAAATTTACGATATATGTTTTCAGTTATAAAAAAGTATATTACAAACATTAAAAATAAAACCAATTATTGAGGTAATTTTTCTGTCATGATAAACCGTGCCTTTAAAAGAGGTTTAGAACCTAATGCTATAGAAAAATTAAAAAAATAATAACTTACTATACAAGCCGTGTTCTGGGAAAAATATTACTCAATTCCCTAAGCAGAACAAATTATAGGTGTGACAAAATTAGCGTCAATTAATTAGTGTTTTCTTAACCAAATACATAACAAGGTATAGAACTCACGATTCAAATAATTCGGTTTTGTTGTTTTTTTTTTTAAATATAAAACTATAACTAGATTTTCTTTCCAGCCTGCTTCAACTACGACAGCCCTCAGAAGTCCAAGGGTGATACTAAAAAGGACACTCCGCTAAATATGGACGCCGGACGTGAGTATTTATTTTATTTAACAAATATAACTTAACTGTTTTATATCATATTATTTATTGTAAACTTTAATGTTATTACATTTAAAATTAATTGCATTGGATACATGATGCAATAAAGAATAAGGGATCCTATTTATATAAACTTAAAAAATATAACAATTGTTTGTAAACTGTCAATAATTAGATCCTTTTTTTAACCTTTCGCGTGAGTCATGCGTGTCATAAATATAGGTTGAGGTACATAAATTAAATGTACCGTTTTATAGTAATATTATCTGACTACATGAAATATACGGGCGTGTCGATTATAAATACGTGTAACAGGCGATGGTATACTGTTTTCAGAATATACATATATGGATAACTTTGAATATTAGACTGGTGCTTTGTGAACCCCAAAAAAAATTACAGAAGACTATCAAATGCAAGGAGGTTCATTGAAATATATAACCTCTTTACATTGTTCCGACTATGAGCTATCAATTTTAATAAAAACTTTGCAGACAAAACTACTATGAAACCTTTTTTCGACTGTATTTATAGAGCAATAAATGGCATTTTCCATTAAACAAATTAATGTATCCTAGTGAAATTAATAAAGTGCAATATATAATTTTCTCTTTTGTAAAGGGTACAACAAAATTGGTTTTCGATCGATAGTAATTAATTTGATAATCACGCTAAAGGGAACACTTAAAATGGTTTTATTAGCTTGGGTTACAGATCCCTACTAATATTATAAATGCGAAAGTAACTCTGTCTGTCTGTCTGTCTGTTACGCTTTCACGCCTAAACCGCTGAACTGATTTTAATGAAATTTGGTACAGAGATGGAGTTGACCTTGAGAAAGAACATAGGATAGTTTTTATCCCAGACTTTTGAAAGGTTCTCTTGGAAACGCGATATAACCGAACTCCACTCGGGTGAAGCTGCGGGCGGAAAGCTAGTACCATATACATAAAACGATATTTTTTGCAGAATGGAATTAAAGTATTAAATGTTTCCTATGAATGTTTAATTTTCTAGGACAGTTCTTAGCTGTACCTACTCATTGTTAGACTAGACGTCTCATTATTTAATGCATTTAGATAGGACAATAAAATGTGCGTATAAAATAGACTCAACGCTTTCAGCTCTCACGACAAATGACACTAAAAATTCTCTTCTTCGTTAAAATGAAATTACATATTTTAAAGGAAATGATGTCATTGCTCTTAAAACGTGTCTGAATTACACGTACAAACTGATCGTATTAATATTTTCATACATAAATTTTTGTCGATACCATTACCTAGGAATATCTTCTTCTACCTGGTAATTTCCCAGCTATAGCCAGGGTCTGCCTTACATGTTGTGTATAGTTTTAGCTATTTGTTTTTACGACCTGCCTGACATCAACCCTCTTTTTGGGAATCAACATTAATCAGTGATATCTAAATAGTCTTAGAAAGTACATATGACTCGGAAAAATCAGATTGGTACTTGTCGGGCCAGGATCGAAACCGCGCCCTCGGCAACGAGAGGCGGGCCCTTTAACCACTGGGCCACCACTGACTAGGTATATACAAAAGAAATAATAATTTTCTAGCCTAGCATAAAATAGCGTATTTCAAAATGGAATTTAATTATTTTCTTTATAAGGTGCATTTAGATATTTTTATTAAGAAACTCTTCGTTGTGATAATGTAACAAATATGCGGCCTTAAAATAGTAAAATTAGACAAACGGATAAAAATTCTGATAGAATTTTCAAACTAGCCAGTGTAATTCAGATAAGTACCAACTAACAATCTATCAACCAATATCAAGGCTTTGTATCGTCGCTACAATAAATCCTCTTTGATTGTCATTCATACCGTAGTCGAGTCCCTACAAATACTCATTATGACCAGTCAGTGCATATCTTTAAGTTTCGAGCTCACTATTCAGAGTTCTAAGCTTAAAATGTCCTTACATTTGAAGTGTAGCCATGCACATTCAGCTAAGAGAGTCGTCATTTCAAATCAGATCCTACCATAGTCACCTACACGCTTACGTCAATCGTCAGTTATGGTTTTGACAACCAGATGTAAAGCAATTTTAATTAATCATTACTTATTATACTTTAATTTAGTTGCCATACTAGAAAAATTACTAGGATATAAATTGTAGCAACACTGTCTTATTGTACCAGAATGTATGAAACTACTCCATATTTGTCTTAAACGATTGTATATGCTTACTTAGCTATTATTTGTAGGAATATAATGGAATAGTGGGGATAGTCTTAGTATTAAGTTACATTATGTAGATGTATGATGTATGAACGGGAATGAATAATGGATGAATGGAGGGACGCTTAAACCGATGTATGGAATTTTCTAACTCTTTCACACATTTTCTATCGAATGGATTTTCCGCAGACTTTACAATAGAAAGACTATTTTATTAAACCATACATGAGATGAATATATACGATGTAATTTATCCAGAAATGACGTATGATTGAAGCAAATATTCCTTTATTTTTGAACTCAATTCCAGAATCGGTAATCATTACGGATTAAATCGCAGTCATAAGCTAGTAAGTTTCAATTTGTAACTCAATCTGCTAAAATCTTATATATATTTTTGATTCACAGTAGACTAGTATCGGATTAATAAAGGAAGAGTATTATTTTGTTGCGAGATCTTCACAAAATTAGCCTCATATGCTTTATGCTTAAATCCGCTTATCTTTACTCAGTGTATTTTAGCAGCGTAAGTATATAGAATAAACTTGATATTAGAAATACGTCAAATTATCATAGCTTCTTTTTAAAGTCACTCGTATAAATATATTTAAGTACAGATAGCAAATCAAAAAGCCTTATAATAGAATTGGCTACTGGCTCTGCGTTGCTTAAGACTGCACTGCAGTAGAAATATTTGATAGTTTTGTTTTGTTCAACCTTGTAAGTTAAAATAAAAGAAGAAAAGTAAATTTAAAGGGTATTAAAATATTGCTATTTATTTTCTTTGTAATTATTACACGCCACAGCTGTGCTACTTGACCTGATTTTGATTAATTAAATAGTAGGTAATTATAAAAGAATAGCTTTCGTACGGTAAAAGTTGCGTGTCATTTTACGTTGTTAAATGTAAATGGGAAAGTTTGTACTCAATTAGTAACATTTTATACCTAATGAAGAAAAATTTATTAGTTTGCATTAAGAACACTTTTGCTCGCCACTTTTATTGCGTACAAATTGAATTTATGTGCAAAGTTTAAGTAATTAAAAAGATATTTCAGATGTAAGACGCTTTAATCAATAAGTTTGGATCTTTAAAGTGCCAGGTCGTGAATCTTCGTTTATAGGAACAAATTAATTTAGTAGTATAATAATATGATTGTTATAAATAGCCTGAAAATGATTTTTCTGTCTGTTTAAATATTTAAGAAAAGATTGGAATGGGAGCTCTTAAAAATAATATTTTCCAGTTGTAGCTTTAAGATTTATATTTGTATACTAGCTTTCCGCCCGCAGCTTCGTCCGCGTAGATTTCAGTTATATCGCGTTTCCAAGAGAACCTTTCAAAAGTCTGGGATAAAAACTACCCTATGTTCTTTCTCAAGGTCAAATCTATCTCTGTACCAAATTTTATTAAAATCAGTTCAATAGTTTAGGCGTGAAAGTGTAACAGACTTTTTTACTTTCGCATTTATAATATTAGTAGGGATATAGCCCAGGTATATTTTGAAAGAATCTTCCATATCGCACCAACAGTTATTAGATAAGCGATTTCAACCAATAAAAACAACTTTTCATCATCATATCTGTCTAACATGTGTTTCTGGATTTTAAAAGTCACATAACATGTTTACTTCATGACGATCAATATTTGTATTGAAAAAATACCAAATATTACCTATAGAGTCATTAATTTTATTGTACTAAATAATCAGAACTAGGCTAACGACAAAGTAATTAGTTATAGAAACTGGATATTATATATGAGTATTTATAGTTAATTAGTTATAATAGTGGAGCGTTCAAAGATTGGTTTAAATGACACGGTTAGTGGGCATTGATATGCCTTGACACTTTCCACTGATTTTTTGTAAGAACAAAAATGTTGGCGAGATTACTAACTGAAACGGTTACAACATGCTAAACGTCTACTGGAAGAAGTAATTATGCATTTTTCAAAACATAAATATTAAAATCTAAATACACGCATATGAGTATCGTTTTGTATACATGGAAAGTTTTTGCTTTTAAAAACGGCGTCATCTGTCTTTTGGTTAAGACAAACTTGAAACTGCCAGTGTAGAAGTTTATAGTTTCTACCGTGAGGCGACACTGAGTTCAGTATTCACTATTCAGTACGACATCAAACGTCAAATACTTTAGTCGTTATAAGCCGGCGTCTCTAAAACGAAGAAGCGGCGAAGACTATTACAATATACTATTGTTTAATGTCATGTTTTTAAGGGATTTGTTTGTGCGAAAGTTGTAAAAATGCATCGAAAAACTACAACATCTAACAGTAAGTAACTCAAAATAAGATTATTCGGTGCGGTTGCCGGTCTTGTTATATGTAGTTAAGTATAAGTTTCGTCCATTAAACAAAACTTAATTTTATCTATTTATTCGCATAAAGGAGAGAAAGCAATGTGGTTAATGAATATTTTATGAAATGGCGCGAGTATCGATTCTTCAACAGACAATTGGTTCTGTTACCTTTAATTGTATCATCATCTGTTTTCGTACCCCAACCCTGTGTGTTCTAGAACATGACTCAGGTCTTAAAATATTCATTTTCTAAGCTTATGCAATGTACATTGGTTGTTTTTAATGAAATTATCATTTTAATTAACCTACAAATTGCAAATGTTGTATTTCATAAACTAAGCTTCTTACTCGCGTTATATTTATAAATACATGTTTTTTTTATTGTATTTTAATCAAGTCGCATGTCGGTATAGGTTTGTTTTTGTAAGCTAAATGCAGATACAGCAACTTGGATGAACACTCACAATGCGTTAGTTTTATATAATTCATTGATCTCGTTGCAGGTTTTGGCAACTCAAAGATAGTAACGGCTGTGCTTAAGTTCGTTCAGTTCATCATATTAATGATATTTTTTGTTATCAAAAATAGTTTTATTGAGTTATAATAACAATAATATTTCATAATAATATATTTTTTGAGGCAGTTTCTATTATGTACTGCATAACTTTCATAGCACTATACTTGTGCGGCCTTTTGTAAGACCCCCACGTATTTATTATCTTTATGACCATTTTTAAAAATACCTAAGTAAATAGATTTTAATAATGTAATTAATAATAATAATGTTGGATGATACTTATGTTTATGTTTTAATGTTATTTGTGAATACCTTACGTTAATTTTCATATGGATATGTATATTATCACAGAAAGATCTTGTTAATCTAAATTGTATTTGACTGTTTATTCTTTCGATAAACTTAAATGACGAGATGATACATTTTCATACGATCTGTAACACCTAACATTTTAGAAAAAACTCAGTAAAATCCTACACTTTTACGTTGATATAAATAACTTTCAGATTTCACTTGTACTTGACAACCTATATTTTTTTACATTAACATTTTTTTTTGCTACCATTTTATACAATTTTGATGCCGATTTCTTTAAATATATCTCCGATCATTGTTCCTTATTACGACATAATTTAAATTAAAACTGTTTATACAAATCGTTTTTTTTAATTACTTTTTGTATTTTTATTCTTCATATTTGAAATCTACTGACAATGCCCCCTTTAAATGGGCCCAGTAAATTATTCATTCCACGAGTGCGATTGAAAACACGCGAATAACACCCTCCATCTTTTCTTAATCAAAAGTTGCCTTTACAATAATATTATGTTGCTACAGTTGTATAACACCGTCATATCTATTCTTAATTAGCAGTTGCTAAGCTTTACATAAATATTATTACAGTTGCATTACACCGTCCTCAATCGGCGACTTCTCGTCAAGAGGAGGAGCTGATACAAAAGAGTATCAGGGCTCTGAACTCTACTACCGATCCATTGGAGAGACTTAGGCTCCTATGTCTCTCGAGAGGAGCTTCAGGAATACTGGGCCTTGGAAGGTAAGATATCATGAACTCGACATATTTTCATAGTGATAAAGAAATTGGAACGCTGTACATTATAATCCTGCTCGTGTAAATGTATTTTTCATTCCATATTTTCTATTACAATATTATTATATTTCGTTAGAACTATACGTAAACATTAAAAAAGTCCAAAGCGTTCTGTTTGAATATTGCGTAATAATAATATGTACATTTTAATGGTTTAACGATTTTTACAATCTTTTTAAAACCATCTTTTATATTAAACTTGTTTTATGCAATAACAGTATTTTCCCCTTAATAAAATTGAAGTCATTTATATCAAGTTATTTGCAACATTTTCGGTCGCGTTAGTGATTTATTAGGATCTTTTTAACATTTTTTTAATTTCATTGGAATTTTCGAATTACATATTTCACATATAAAATATGTGTGTTTGAAGATTATTGTAACATATTTTTGTTTTTAATGTTGATAGAAATTATTTATTTCTAATATTGAATTTTGAAAATTGTGGACAATATGTGATCATATGCTACAATACATGTTACATATATTGTATATGACTATAATATGCTATGTATACTTTTGGTGGCATCAATTGTACAGAACGGGGCACCTTGAAATCAGTTATGATCGGAGTTTGCTCTCTTTTTACTGCTAAACTTTCATTATTATTTCGTAGTTTTTGTTACCATTATTTTCTGAAGGTTTCTTAATATAAAAAGTCTATTATTATTATATAACTTCAATATTTCCTTCAATATATTTTCTTTTTTTTTATTACTAACATAATAACAACATTCAGTTGCTTTGAATCAATAAGTGTTAATTGATAAACAAATTCTTGTTTAGAATTGCTGAGTTTTTGTATCCAGTTTAGCTGCACTTAATTAGGTCAAGATGTGCTTGAAACCGTTGTCCGTATTCTATGCATTCTTTAACATGTGAAACGGTTTTATTCAAGACACACTTTACAAGACCTATTTAAGCTTTGAATGTAGCTAATACAGTTTATAGCAACCTCTTTGGAGGAATAATTTTAAAAAGTGAACATTAATGGCCAGTGACAAAATGGCTGCCATTAAATCACATAAAAAAAATTAGATCTACTTTTTCTCTTCTTTTTTGTTACATGATATTATGATTAAGTAAGTTTTTGCATTATATTTATGGAAATATATATATTTTTACTTATTTAGAATCTTCAGACGAATGGACGATGATGGCAGCAAGCAGCTAAATATGGAGGAATTCCTGAATGGTATTAAGGAAGCGGGTTTGGAGCTCAATAGAGAGGTATGTAAATAGAAAATTTATGAACTATTTCTATAAAAATGACATGATATCTTATTAGTATTTCATCATATTTATATTCTAAACAATTGGGTTTTTGAATTATTTTTTTTTTTGTGATAAATGGAAAGATCATATATAAGTTTAATAACAAAACTATTTTTATTTTATTTTTTTTTGCAATATTTAAAAAGTTATTTCAAAATAAAAATTAAATTTTAAATTCAGTACCGAAGACAAGCCGACAGCTCGTGAATAAACCCGAGCGCGTGTGACGTCACAATGTTAGTTTTTGCTCATTGTAGCATACAGAGATATAATAATTAGTACAGTGTTTTGAGTTTTTATCTAGTAAATTCTGTTGGCATTGTTAAATAATCAAAAGTTTTGTACCATTATGTACAAAGACTACAAAAACAACTCCTGAAAAAATGTTTTTTAAATGTTCCACAAGACGAAAAACGTCGAAAGAAATGGTTTCAAGCAGTGCATCGAGATTATTCAAAAACAAAATCATTTTTTTTTTGTTGTGAAGATCATTTCGTTGTAAGTTTTCATAATAGTATTGTTATTAATTATTATTTATCTAAGTGTATAAATCGAATAAGTATAGTTCAATAATTAATTTTTTTACCTGGGCTCCAAATCATAACCTTTAGAATCGTAGCATTAAAAAATTTTAATTGATAATTCAAAGCGATTAAATAGTAAATCTATATATATGTTTGTCTAATAATTGGACTTCAATTAATAGATATTTTCATAATTTTATAACATTCTAGGTTCTGTATCAGACTACATTTAAATTTTTAAAGTACATATATGTTATTTTGGTTTTTTTATAATGTTATAATAACATTTTATTAATAATGATTTAATGAAATAATTATTAATTATATTTAATAGAGAATAAATACTAATTTTCATTTAGAATAGTATTTTTTGACAGACTTACCTTGATGTCTTAGCACCTCGAACTTCAGCAAAATTAAACCGCACTTTTTAAAAAATTAGTTATCATAAAAATATATTAACATCAGGAATATTATCCGATTTTGCTTTTATAAATCCTTTATCACACATAGTCGAAATAAACTTTTCAAATCGTTTTTCACTAATAAATTTGAGATATTTTTATCAAGTTAAAGATAATAGCAATAAACACTGTACTATTATGAAATTGCTTTAACATTATGACGTCACAAGTATGCTGACCAATCATGGCGCGTTTACAGTCACGTGATATATTTTTGAATTTTATCAATTTTTAATTGTTTATAATTAATTTAAAAAATATATTTCAAGTTTTTTGCATTAAAAATCCAATATAATTAATAATAAAGTTTTAAAATACATAAAAAAAATCAATACTTTTTTTTTTTTCAAAAACCCAATTATATATTAGCACTAATGTATTTTTTAATTATCATATGTTCAGATATCATATATTTTTATTTCAGGAGGCTGACGACTTGTTTAAGAAGTTTGATAAAGATAACAGCGGTTCTATCAGCCTTGATGAATTCCTCGTTCAGATTCGGGTATGTTATTTACATGAACATAGCTATTTAATTACTCCATTATATAAACATACATTATGTATTTAATTAATCATAATATATAAGTCCACATTTATATATGCTATCCAATTTTATTCTCTTATGGAAGTCCAGTTGAAGAAGATTATAGACAAAATAGTTCATTTTATCTATTGAAATATGTAATTATTTTTCAATCCTTATGTTACAAATTTAACCATCCCTAATATATAGAAATATGTTATTTAAAGATCTGTATTAAGTTATTCTCCATTATCAATATTATTAAATATTCCTTAAATAACTTTATTCTATTTTTTTAATAATTCAATGATTGAGAAAAGTTTACAACTATACGTATACCTGTAAAGTTTTGTTGTGCTTTGTATGCAAGTTTTAAGTCTTCATCATGACTTTGGATCTTTGTCTTAATATTTGCTAAAGAAATATAATTTGAAAGATATAAATATCTATATTAGTATTGTATGAATCTAGAAATTTTGTTTTTATTTTTTATCTACATGAATTGGATGTTTATTCTTACAGCAAGTTAATATGAGTATGTAATTATGTAGCCTCCGATGTCCGATGGTCGTCGGGCCATAGTGGAGCAAGCATTCAGGAAGTTGGATCGCTCTGGTGATGGACTCATCACCGTTGATGATGTAAAGGGGGTGTATTCTGTCACTTCGAACCCCAGGTAATATTTATATTGCTTAATAAAGGATTTTGATTTGTTTAATAAGGACCTTTAGTATGGTTAATGGAATTCTTATGTATTTTCATGGTTATGATTGATTGTTGATACATATTGGTGATGAATATTTTTAGTTTAATGCCTATGGAAATGTTTTAGCTTAAGCTATAGTGTTAGACACTTTGTTTGCTTTTAATTTTTAACAGGACTAAATTTTTTTAACTGTAGACAAAATAATAAAATTGTTTTTATTGAAAATATACTTCATACAAATATCTGTGATAATTTAATAAATAGTAGGTACATATCTTTAGTAATAATTTCTTTTTGATAACAGATACATGAGCGGTGAAGAGACAGAGGAACTGATTTTGAACAAATTCCTCGCTAACTTTGAAACTGATGGCATTGTTGATGGAAAGGTAATAAATTTAAGTATATTATCATGATAATTAGGGCCTGGATAAATATGTATTAAAAAATCAAAAATATGTACATAAAATATGGACGAAAAAAATAAATATATGGAGTATAAAATAAAATATGTACTTTCATAATTAAACATTGTTTTACTATAAGAACAGAGTCACTCGTGACGTACATCGTTAAGTTACATTTAAAAACGATGAAAAAAAGTTGCGTAATATTTATTTCAACAAAAAAATAACAGTTTTATTCAACTTCCATTACACTAGCCTAATCAAATTGGTTGCAATACACAATGACGTGCTTCTTTAAATTATCAAAAAGAAAACTGACCATTTGTTTGAAATATATCTGCTGAATGATCTCTCCACGTCACATGACGTGATGGGTGCATACTTAAACATGCTTAATTCAGTAATTGTGTAAGCCATGTCTACAGCCCTCGAAACTTTCGCACAGAATTTTGTTAATTTTTTTTAGCGTTAAATCCTTTATGTTTATTCAAAACATTAGTGGCGGAAACGTAAATTTTATGTATTTTTGTGAATATATGGATGATTGTGTCATTTTCTTGTAAAATATGGACTTAACTTTGAAATATGGTAAAATATGGAAAATAAAAGTTGGTTTTTCACAGTCTAAATATGAAAATCTATGTAGAAAACACATTCTCGACTAATCGCATAAATTAAAAATATGTTTTTACATATTAATCCGGGCCCTAATGATAATAAATGAATTTATCATTCATACTTCAGTCTTGTTTTAAGAATACTTCATATAAATAATCTTATATATAAAATTCTCGTGTCACGGTGTTAGACAGAGAACTCCTCCAAAAAGGCTTGACCAATTCTCATGACATTTTGTGAGCATATTAAGTAGGTCTGAGAATCGGCCAACATCTATTTTTCATATCCCTAAATAATAAGGGTTGTTGGTTTTTATAATGTAGCATTAAAAAACCATACAAACGAATTCTTTTTCTTTTTTTATCGCCAACCTCTTTTTTTTATATGGCAAAACAATGGTTTGCCGGGTCAACTAGTCATTTTATAATATTATTTTTCTTTTTTTTCACAGATAACTCTGCAAGAGTTTATGGATTACTACAGCGGTATAAGTGTTTCTATCGACAATGACTGCTACTTCGACCTCATGATGAGACAGGCTTACAAACTGTAAACAATATATATCTCGCTATCTCATATACTCAAGAGATATTACTTTGCACTTTTAATGTTTCACAATTTAATTTGAATATTATCTATTAAATTATTAACGCGTGCTATTACATCGTCACAATAAAGATTCAATAATATCATGTTGTTTTTCATTTATTTTATTCTTTGTTAGCTATGTAGCTTAATTTTAAGAAAATAGAATAAATGTCAAAATGTCTTAATTTCTTTTTTATTATTTGTATGTAAAAAAATTGTATGTAAAGCATAGTATGACAGTACAAATCACGAATGAGAAGTGCAATGTAAAATAACGTATAAAATGATTTTAACGTATATAATTATTAGGGATCATTTTCTCCCTTGATTGTTACTTCTACTCTACAAGATTAATTTATTTGCTTAGATTAATAATTAAATTTATTTCCTTACTAATCTAGAGAGACGCTAATTACATAATATGTAGCATCTTATATTTTTAAAGAGAATCCTTAGGCTAGGTATGTATTCAATCAAAACAAACCTTTTCTTTAAGGCTATGGCTCCATTATTAATTTATTATGACTTCTATTTTGACACGTCATGTCAAAAAAAATTTGCAATAGCAATACATCCTCCTTAGAAACGATAGCCAAGAAGAATGTAAGATATTTTTCCGCTTTGAAAAGTTTGATAGTGATAGACTACAAGTAATTATAACCTTTCTTACATTATGTATTACTGTCATATAAGTAATCGAAGAAGGAATGGCAAAAAATGCCATTCTAATTAGTTTTCTGACCTCTTTGTTTCGTTATCCTGCAATATCAATATTCTTTATTCATATATGTATTCATTTTTACGAGCTAAAGACTAGTAAACGGTTCATTATACGTTTTAAGTCCTACTTACAAATATTATAGACTAGATTTCGCCTAACTTACCCTACGAGTAACCATACCATATTAAGTTACCATGACTGATTTCTTAAATTTTTCATTTGAACCTTCATGTTATGAACTAGTATAGTCCAACTAATATTATATTAAGCAGGTGAGCATCAGGATAATTTTGCTATTTATATTATCGAATTATGTATTACGATAACTAATTACAGTCTTATTGAGATTTGAAAAGAATTTTTTAAAATTTAACATCATTTTCGTCCAACCAAATCATCCAAATAATCCAATCCAATCCAATCTTCCAAATAACTTCACAAATTGTGTAGACTCAACTTTAGAATTTATGGTTTAATGTTTATGTTTATTTCTAGAAAACAATTTTTTCTTTGAATTAGAACTTACAAAAATAATGACAAGTGTCACAGATACATTTTTGTGGAACTGTTATTAAAACTTTACAATCTTTTTTATAAATTTTATATACATGTATACATATACATATACAAAAGTATAATTGCTTAAATGCAGCTATGTACTACATTTGAGTCAACAGGGAAAAGTGAGTATGAAGTAAAAATATAAATTTAGTAATCGTAAAATTTTATTCTTGTTCATAGAATTTTGATTGCTGAAATAGATATGGACGTAATCATTTGAACTTGATTTATTTAATGATTTAGTTATTTGAAGCAATTCTAAAACTTTGTTTTCTTTTGCAGGATAATTTCCCAAAATGTGTCGCACAATACACGCGGTATTACAAACCGCAATATGCGGGATACAAATGTTAGTGAGGGTCTTCATGACCATTATTCTGATGATAGAAAATTTGATACGAATGATCTTGCAGACTATGTATAATTTTATATCATTTATATTACAAATGCTATCACTTATACCGATATGCATTGTATTCCTGCTGACAGCGAGGTTGAAATGTTTTATGTGCGGCGGCGGTGGCCCATGCCCTGTCAATAGAGGAGGAGCTTGCGATTGCATAATGTCCGCCATGGCGATACTAATAATGTTTTTCATATTCCGTGCGACAGGCATCCTAGATAAAATCTTCTACAGCCTAGGTTACTCCAAAGCCAGACCTCCGGTAGTAAAGTTCGTCCCGACCCCCGGAGATATCACCGAATGTTCTAGAAATGACACGGACTATCCTAGCGATGAGACCACGACGATTAACGATACTTACTTACTGACGGACTATTATACCATTTCAACCCCGACCACGGGTGGTAAGTTTGTTAATATGTTGACTGACACAACAACTCCAACGAATACTCCTACTACAACCATCCAAAGATTCGTCGCGCAGGAATCAACAACTCCACCACCAAATTTATACCGAAGATTCCCTAGTTTTCCGCATAATAGAAGGAAATGGACTACCGTACTCTCATTCTTTCAATAAACTATAAACTAACCCGACAAAGCTATGAGACTGTGTATTATTTTTCTGATAAACAACAAAGTAAGCAAGGGTCATTGAAGTAGCAGTAGCAGTTAGATTTGACTAGCCATAGAATTTAAGATAATTATTTCTATTATGACAGATGGAACAAAACCAAGATTATATATAATAGTTATGTATGTAATATACTATTTTTTGCCCGAGATTTCGTCTGCGTTAATTTCGGGATTGGTGATATATGGTTATATGTATAGTTAACCAGGCGAATTCTATTCTGCCGCAGAGGCCATAGATAACCAGATATAGATGGAATTTATAGAGTTTTTTTCAATTAAACAGAATTTTCCTATGTCCGTCTCCTGATTTTAAGCTGTCTCCCCGTAAATTTCGCACTATAACCGTACAGCCGTTCTTGAGTTATAAATAGTGCAACTAACAACTTTCTTTTATCTTCTACCTGACAAATTCCTAGCTTTAGCCGGGGTCTGCCTTACATGTTGTGAATAGTTTTGGCTAATTGTTTTTACGACCTTCCGCCTGCCTGACATCAACCCTCTTTGGGAATACATTAATCAGTGATGTCTAAATACTCCTAGAAAGTAGGTACATATGACTCGGAAAAATCACATTGGTACTTGCCAGGATCGAACCCGAACCCTCATGTATGAGAAGCGGGCCTTTTAACCACTAGGCCACCACTGACTTCAAACAACTTTCTTTTATATACAGGGTGACTGGTGAATTACTATCGATATTTGAGGACGTGATATTTGACGATCATATATGACAAAATAAAAATTAATATATCATAAATATTAATAAACTTCTAAGTAAAGTTAACCAAAAGTTATGTAATTAATTACGCATCGTGTGAACACGCTACAGATTAGGTATACACACACACACACAGACACACACGCGTGCGGCGGCGTGGTGTTGTATCAGCACGCCGCCGCACGCGTCCACACTTGGAACACTTGGAACGTGTCCACACTTTATTTATTTATACGGAAATTTGGTAAAAAATTAAGTACCTATTTTTTTACATAACTCGAATGAGAATCATGTACCGAGTATTCTCCTTAAATATTGATAGTAATTCACCAGTCACCCTGTATATCGATAATAATTACCCCAATACCAGTCGACTATTTAGGAGTATATCTACCACTAGTCACCAAGCTGTACCGTTGTGTACTATAAATCGAAAACTTAGCGTAAGTGTTTCTAATTGCGTCTAGGGGTTAAAATACGTGAGTTGGTAGCATTCGCCATTGTTAAACGTGTTTTATAGGTACCTACTGTCTATAATATCTTGGTAGTATATATCTTGGTTCGACGTTCAAGAAACATTTTAGTGCTCCTACTTATATTGATTTTCGTTTTCCGTACCTAAATAATTGACAAACATCTGATAAATATAAACGTGATTGAATGAATTTGTTTTTAAGTCATTTTCAATTCTGGCTCTTACAGGATGTCATGTAGTCTTAGTAGGTAATATATTATAAAGAAATTCAAAATGCATTGCTACCTTTGAAATCATAATAATTAATTAATACTAATACTATGTAATACTACTTACTAATAATTATACTAATAAACAAAACTGTGATTAGAATGTTGCATTAGAAAATAGAATGTATATTGAGAGAGTAGGGAAAGCGCGAACCACGTATAAGCAGTTGTCAAAGGATATCAGGACTCTGGTTTTTCCTAACACCTGTTTGTGTGCTAGATTAATCGATTGTCAATTTTGTTAGTGTGTTTAAATCTTTCGTTTGTGTTATATTCAGATTTCTTTTTGTGATAAGTTTAGATCGAGATAGTTAAAAGTTGGTTATTAAGAATTGTTTTTAGTTTTATGCTTTAATAAATTAATAGTGTCATTGTAATAAATAATATTAAATAAATAGAATTGTTTCTAAGAATAAAATAAGATTAGAACAGTTATTTCAGTATTATAAACATTTACCCATGTGTACCCATATAACTGACTCCTGACGTGATCTGTGAATTCAAGAAGAAAATGTTGTATTATCTGTTTCAAATAAGGCAGAATAACTTTCATTTTATATGGCATATTAAATTTCAAGTTGAGATGTCATTTTGGATAAAAAATTGAGAAATTATAAAAAATTAAATATCTCTAAAATTATTTCAATAAAAATGAGAAAAATTATATCTATTCAAAAAAATAACATGAATACATTTTTATTATAAGAATAAGTTGAATATTAAAAAAAATGTGTAACATTCTTTTTGTACCGGTGTTATGCACGCTTCAAATAATATCAAGAACTTTAATGACAATCCTTCTCGCTACGGAAGATATAATTCGTATGATTATACAGACTTTGTACAATTTTGTATCAAGCTGTCTCCAATGTATATCCTTACTGCCAATGTGCTGCGCGTATATCTGTATAAAGCATTGCTACCAGACGAATATCTTTAAGTCCGGATGCTACCCTAGAACAGGCTGCTCTGGTTGTGGGTTCACAATAATTTTAGTAACAGTTATTGCTGTTATCTTCATCATCGTCTATACTGACTGGATCCAAGATATATTGAATGCTGCAGGAATTGAATTGCCGTGTAATTTTTATTATAATCTGAAAAAAACTTTAGGGTTTTGGAGAAAAAATTTAATAAATGAGACATGTAAACTGAAGGAAATGTATTACGAGAAGGTGGATGATACTGATGATCTATTAGAAATTTTGAAGAAAGAGTCTTATGATAAAGAAAATTCAAAAAACAGTGAAAAACTTAAGAAAAAACGACAATTAAAAAAAAGGTCATATTCATATGTTAATGATACTGAAATTAATTATAATTTTGGAAATAAATCAACAGTTTTAAGCAATTTGGAACAAGAAATTAATTATATTAATGGGTCCTTAGACTCTTATGAAGTTGTCTTTAATGAAACATTAACGAATAATAAAACATATACTTAAATCCAAATTTTTATGGTTTTATTAAGAACATTTCAAATTTAAGGTACATCAAGTATATGAGATAAAAATAAATGAGGGCTACGATAGAACTTCATTTCCTATCTAAAATTATTTATTTATTAATAATCGAAAATACCTCTTTTCCCTCAAAAAATCGTCTTTTCGTCGTTCCTCTTAAAAACACTTTTTCCTATTTTAAATATTAATATCTGGTTACTCAGCTTTGCTCGGTATTTAGGAATTATTAGTATTTTTTTTGTGTTTTTTTAATTTCGTTTAGGTATTTTTAAGTGAACACGTTAAGAAGACACAACACAATATAAATCAACAATTACTTTCTTAGTCTATCCTCAAAACAGTCATTGACTTCCTGGTATGTAACAGCACCATCTGCTGTTGTATCGTTAAAGCAATTAGTAAAAGCAATTAGCAAAAAGTAGTATTAAGTAGTATTCGCCAATAGATGTCAGGAAGAGTCATATTTTAAACGACTATTTTTTGTTATTTTTTTTAATAAAATAATATTTTCTAAAATAGATTCCTAGCTAGATCGATTTATCGCCCCGGAAAACCCCTATACGTCTTGACAAAACAACCCCTTAGCTTAGCTGACTATAGGTTCTCTGTGAAAGATATTCGCATTACTAAAACCAAGGCACTGATAACTACGAGTAGTTTTGGTGAATTCAAAGAAAGTGGCATGGATGCTATTCCAGCCATAGTATAAAAACATGCGAACCCGATTTCTTTCCAATGTTGATACGATTGTTCCTCCTCTCTTTCATGATTGGCATAATGTCTATATTTTGGAAACTTGACATTCAGGTATCTGTTTTTAACACAGGGTGACGTTACAGGTCCTAATAAATATTAACCGATTTCAATTATTCTAAGATTTTGGAACGTATAGTGTATAGAGACACCTAGAAAACCATGATTTTCTTAGTGACTAACAATATTAGTTTCAAAAAAAATCGGTTCACTGAGGATTTACAATACTTTGAGGAGAGCGCTGGAAAACAAGAGTTAAGCTATCGCAGGTGTGGCTGGGTATTATTGGTAAAATATTTGACAGTTTTGGAGTGGTTTTATTGGTGGATTAGGAAGAGTTTGAAACAGTTTTGGAGTGGTTTTATTATTGGATTAGGTAGAGTTTCAAGGAGGAGCCATGGTAGAGTCTTTTAATTAACCATTTCAGGGAGTCAAAAATGGGGTAACACAAAAATATTATAAAATTTGACGCAACCAAAACACGAGTATAACTTTCCACCCCAACAAAGAGTCGGTTTAACTTGACTCTAACTGTTCAGAATGTATTATTGGAATATCCTGATTGCCTTCAATATAGTTATTGGGGTATCCTCGACCTTGGGGCAACATTAACTTATTTACATTCAGGGTGGTATCATAACAATCCTTATCCTAATCCACAGATATGCCATAATCTAATAAATTGTTTCTATTATAATACTTAGTACTTGTCTTAAAATCCGCTCTTTGCGTTATATATCTACTAATCTAAAGAAGTTTGTACTTGTTAGGAATTATCTAATAAAAGTAATGTATAGATTTTTTTATAGTTATGTGTACTCTTGAACTAAATAGGAGTCATGGATCATCGTCGTAAGAATCTTGAATGTATTATTGTTACTATTTACTTCTTATCTTGATTACAAATAACAGATAAATAAAATTACTATAAATTCAAAGCAAAGAACTTTTTCTTGAGCTCAACTTAAAGTTTTTAAAGTGAAAGAATTTGTCTTAGGTCTTTATTTATTTAGAGCATTTTTCAAGATAATAAATCAAAACTATTGAATATATGTATTTTTGAAATATTCATCTTCTTAATACAGTTCATTAATAAAAATATCTAGGATTCATTAAAACCTACGAATTATAACGATGACAAAAATGTTTTTTAGTTTTGACAGATAATAAATACTTGACATAACTTAGATGTGATCGGATCAAGTAAATAATTTTATTTACTTTAAGTTTTGTTGTAAGTCTTTAATGAAAGAAAGGTAATAACTTATTGCCGGAAGGCAACAATATATTTATAATTTAGAAAGGAATTTATCTAAATCAAATGTAGATTTGGAAATAAAACCATACCTATTTAACACGGTAAAATTTTGACATGAATACAGTCATTCAATACATTAAATGTTGATATCAATGGAATATTAATTTTTGCTGATAATTTATCAAATACAAAAATCATGAAAGTTAAAAAACTTTTAAAACAAAATAAACAAGTGAAGAATAGCAAACAATTATATGACGAAAATCAAGGAACGAACGGGATTGCAAAAATAACCAAAAAGTTTGAAGTCCATTCTAAAGAAAATGTTTGTCTTTTAAATGATAATAATGAAAATAATCAGTATAGTAAGAATAAAGAGGTACAAAATACACCAAATTCATTGAATAATTCAAAAAATAAGCAGACCTCGTTAAAAAATGAAAGACTTGACCTGAAAGATTTATGTAAAACATTGTCAGTTGATTACAATATAAATAAGAAAAGCAGTAAAACATTTTTGGGTATACAAAGAAAGATAAAAGAAGATTCTAAAGTATTTATCATGAATGAAGATCAACACAATAATTGTCAAGCAATATTTTACAACGATCTTTGTGTGAGTGGAAAAAATTTAAGTTTATGGAAAAGAATCAAACATCATTTTAGTTCTCTTACATCTGCAAAAGTTGAAAGCAAAGATTGCATCCTTGCAAAGGGACTAAGTAAAACTGTACCAAAACATAGTGACAAAAACAAAATTGACCTAAAAAATAATTTAATATCCCAGAAGTTTTGTGGAATGTGTAATAACAATCCATATTTTCAAAAATATGACACTATGCACCTGCAAGTAAAAAATTGTGAAAGTCAACAATATTTACCGAAATGTTATGCTTGTGGAGACTTTAATAAAAGAAAGACATCAAACTTGATGCTCTGTCACAGCGATAAAACTTTTTCTTGTTTCAAAGACACTTCAAGTATATTGTGTGGCCCCGCACGTATGAAAGTGCCGGTTTTAAATTATCCAGACAATTACACAAATGACCAGAAAATATCTTGCAAAGCTATTTTAAAATTAAAAATTGTTGATATATTGGAACAAATATTACTTAAGTTGGAAGAGCGACGTATACATTGCGATGAACCAAAAAATAAAGTGAGGCAAAACAACGGGGGATCCGAAAGATGCAAAAGAATAGACGCAAGAAAACATGATTGCTTTGAAAATCAATCGGATTATTGTAAGAAATTGTTAGAGAAGAAAAACATCTGTAAGACTTCTGATAAGATGTGCAGAGAAACCAAAAACACAAAATGTGAAAAGAAGTCAAATAAAAAACAAGGAATTTCTTTACAAGAGAAGTGTTCTAAAAAATTTTGTAAAGCCAATTTAATACGTCACAACATGATTTCTGAAGGGACACTTACAGACAGGAATGAAACAAAAAAACCAACATGTAAGTGTGTTAAAAAACCAACATGTAAGTGTGTTAAAACACAATATAATATTGTACCGCAAGATAATTGTAAACCAAGTTTAATTTGTCAAAAATGCGGACTTTCCAAGTGTTATTGCAAAAAATCTAAGGTTATCATTAAAGAAACAAAATCAGTCGAATGTGGTTTAAACCTAGAAGGAAGACGTTCAAACGATTGCTATAACTGTTTTAAAAATATGGTTCAAGAAAACTTATGTGATGTTCCAAATAAAGAGGAGCTAGTAACTAAATGCAGTAGGAAACCAATAACGAGAATTCCATCGGCTGCTTCGTACAAATGTAACAAACATGAACTGAATGTAAAGAAAAAAGAAAAGTGTTGTGGATCCTATTTAGTTATCCGCAGTCCCGAAATAAAATTAAGCAAACGGAGGAAATGTGACTCAGAAACAAAAAAATCCAAAAATTGTGTGGAACTAACAAGATTTAACAAACCCTGTGAAAATAATAAGCTAAAGAAAGATGAAAATCAATGTTACAGAGGTATTACAAAATCCACTAACACCATTAATGAACTAGAACATAGAAAAACCTGCGGTTCTAATACTTATCTTCGAAAACAAAACAAAAGTGTGGACAATATGAATGTATCCAATTTATCAAAAAAAACTATGTGCCAAATAATTCGAAACAAATCGTGTAGTTCTTGTACATTCCTATCGCAAAAAAATAAAAATACTTGTACAGTTAAAGAAAAAAAAGTATTAAATAAACGTACACAAAAACGATTCAAAGAGTTCAAATGTATTAAGTCGGATACAAATATAAGATGTAAAAGACCGAAACGTGGTAACGCATACCATGTTAATCGTTGTTGCAGCCCGGTAAGGACTGATTTAGATTTTACACCATGTGGACGGCGAAGTTTGATATTAAAAAATAATGGCACATGCACAGAACAAGCCCAAGCTGGAGATTGTGCTAGCAATCGTCAACGATATCCAACAGGTTTCTGTTTTAAAAAATTACCTTTCACGAATAAAAGTAAAAGCATAAGTTGTCAACAAGGTTTTCTAAAATGTCCATCAAAAGATGTTAATGATTTTTTTTTATCTGGGGATCAAAGATATCACAACCGATCATGTGGAAAGATTCAAAGAAACCACGTTTGTAAAGCGTGTCATACAACTTTTTCATCATGTAGTTGTCCTTCAAAGTCCATGAAATTACATCCTCAAATCTGTACTTGTACCAAAAATCTCCAGAACGCCGTTTGCCATAAACCTAGACATATAAACATAGTAGAAGGAAAGTGCAAGAACAAACTACGCAAATATACACGTTTGCCATGCCGTAAGAGACGAAACATATCCTCCGTTTTAAAGTGTTTTTTCTGCAACGAAAGTCGCAGTTGCAAAACTAGGCAACACCAACAATATAATTGCATGAGAAAAAAAGATTGCTTACAAATAGACTGTGACCGAAGCAATTTATACAGGTATACTTTAAGGCAACGAGAGTGCCCTGGTTTCAATTGGGTATGTCCTGGAGCTTTCCCAAGCTGTTTTCCCACTTTTTATCGTCAATGCTGTGAAATGATGGCATATACTTGCATGATTTGTGTTTGGGTTCCCTGGTTGATATGTTTTGAATTCTGTAGAATATGCTTTTGTAAATGTTTTTACGATTAAATCTTTTTTGTTTGAATTAATCTATCAGTTACTTTCTTCCTTTTGACTTAATTTGACTCATTGATAAATAAGGACATATTAAGAAATAGGACTATACTCATACTATCAGGAATTTTTATTTTCGTTTGGGTAATATATACTCCTTTAGAATTTTTGGCAAACTTGTAATAACACATGTTTTCAACTAAGTGTCAACAAGTTTTTCAAGATACTAATGAATTTTTTATTATCAGCACGACATTCTGCATTAAATGACACCTCGGTCGTATTCGTTGGAAGCGGAAAAAATGTTTTAAAAAGCATTAGTTGAACAATCGGCATGTAATAACATCGACAAAAAAAATCTCAAAGGGAGCGTTAATGCTACTTACATCGAAAAATATATCCTAAAATCTTATCATTTGAGAAGTTACAGCTATTCCCGGCTCAAAGGCATCAAGGGCCTGGAATATTCAAGGTTATTTACTATTCGTAAACTACGCTATACTGAAGAAGTTTATTTATATAAACAAAATTAATATAAAAAAAATTGAGTTCTTAACATCGTCAAATAATTAATAACAGGTATTCATATAATTTCTACTTAGAATCTATCTAATAGCTGTAAAACAATTAGAATCATCTATACTTGGTTGTACACTAGGAAAAGGTTGTCTGAAATTTTGACATTCCAGAAAAATTTTTTTTACTGTACTTTTTTAAATATATTTTAGTCTCGTTGTCTTTTGGAACCTAAAATTAAACTTGATAGATCTAGATCTAAAAAGTTAGTATTACTAAAAAGGTAAGGTCGAAGGTTATTCCTTCATGTTCTGAGATATGATAGGTTCTACCCCACAATCGACATGTATTATGCCCTACTAGTAGACGTTTGTTCTGGGCCGAGACTATCAAATATAAACTTTATACGCTCCCTCAATTCAATATCAGGCAATTTATTTACGTATTATAAAACAAATTTCAAAAAAATAATATTTTATTAGACTGAACACCTTAACAAACCTAATGAGTACAGAAAAAACAACACAAAAATGCGCGACACATTTCAAAAGTTATAATACATGGCGTCCACATTAAGATCGCCAGAAGATAAATAAGTATGTGAATGAAATTGTTCATAAATGATACGCAGCTAAGGCACTGTGGATATAACTCTGGGCAAACGTGATAAAACCACAGACAAGGTGTTTTTCTCATCGTCGTTAGTAACATATGTCGACAGCTGTAAAGTGCCTCGTCATGCCTTTTCATCATTCTACGTTTTCTTATTCTACTCCTTCGTTCATACAGAGCTTTCTCATCGGCAGATTTTCCTCTTCCAAATATTGCATTATAAACTGCGGAATCTTCTATTTGGTCTGCTATAACATTAATTGTACTTGATTCCTGCAATCTTTTTGCAATACCTGAAGTTCTATTATTCCAGGTTCTTACGAACCAATAAAAAATTCGTGATAATGAAGATGCTGGATTTTTACTTTTTTCTCTAACATACACGTAACTCCCTATTGGATCACCTAACAACCAAAAAGGGATTTTTATGACTTGTTTTACGGATCCTATGGCAACATTAAACAAACCAGTTATGACATTTGTAATATAATTCCAGCGATGTGCATTTTGTTTAGAAACTTCCTTTTGTTCTGCTACCATTTTCTTGTTCTCTTTTAAAGATTTCTTTTCTTGTTTAACGTATTGTTTTTTCTTCTTTTTAAGTTCCTTTTCACAGTTCTCTTGTTGTTTTTCTACACAATCTGTCACTTTTTCAGAACAAGTCCTATCGTCTCTCTTTCGTCTCTTAAAAAACCCCTTTTTTCTTCTTCTTCTTCGTTTTCGGGCTTTTTTTTTAGTTTTTTGACCGTAACATTCGCAATAACATTTACATATATTTGATTGTTCCTCTTTTAGATATGGCACTGAAAAAATAAATATCACATATGAAAATCGAAAGTTACAAATCTGAATATATTTTAATAGTAACAATGTTTTGTATTAAATCATTTTAAAAAATTTAATGATTTAAAATTAATAAGTTAATTTAAAGTGCATAAATAATTTACTCTAAAGATTTTATTTTCACCTTTTCTCTCTTTTCCCGTTTTAGGAGCCTGTTTCCCAAGTTTTTTCCCAAGTCCACGAGGGATATCAAATGTAACTGTTTTTTGATTTGTATCTGATCTTATATGTTTTTTATTTTCGATAATATTGGAATCATCACGGGAACGCCTTATAGGTCGCCTCCGTGTTCTTCTACCTCGTTTGCTCCAAGTTTCAGATTTACTAAATACTTTTGAACAATAATATGATAATGCACATTTCTTTTTTCTATCTTTACAGCTGCTTTTATCGCACTCGAAAACACCTGCTTTTAATTTTTTTCCGATACATCTGCAGTTTACGTCAAAATTCTCATCTATTGCTCTTTTACAGATGCCAGAAGAACATATTTCATTTGGTGACGCTTTTCTCATAGCATCTAAAATTTCTTTAGAATTAATTATATTCATATTATTTGAATCCAACATCACCTGAAGCAGAGGTTTTTTTGCAATATCCGCTGATGTTAGCGGCACCTCTTCTTTACGTTTTATCTTCTTTTTTCTTTTAGTTTTCAAATTACAAGTAGAATCTTTGCATTCTATGACATCCTTAAGCTCCACACACTTGCAATTGAAACTAGTATGCTTATTTTTTAAATATTTTTCACAAATTCCTTTTCTGCAAGTTCTTTCTCTATGGGATTCTAATCGGTTTAATCTTGAAGGACAGATGCACGACAAATCTTTCTTTTCTGATCTCCCTAATTTTCTTATTTTTTCATTAATTTCTTGTGAATTCATAACCTGCATATCTGACGAGTCAACTTTCATTTCAAAAAATGGTTCCCCAGTTTGATCTTTTGCGTTTGAAACAGTTTGAAAAGCATGGCCGTTATCACTTTTACATTTGCAAGTAACCCTAAACATTTTATCTATCAAACTTGGTTTTGGTTTTATTTCTTTTAAATCTTTGTTTTTTGATGAAGCACCTTGATCACCCTGTCCAATATTCAAATCTTCCTTTAGCATCTTTATAAGGCTGTTTTTAGCGTTTCCCTTGGCTGTCTTTACTTTTGCAATGAGTTTTGAATATGTTGTATCATCAGATTTTTCACTATCGGTTTTTAATTCTGACTCCTCTTTTTTTATGTCCTTTTTCTTTTTTTCCTTCTCCTTTTTCTTCTTTAATTTTTTCTTATTTACTTCCGTCCTTTTTTTATCTTTAACATTATCTTCTCTAATTACAATTTCTTCTTCTATTTTCTTTTTTACCTTTTTCCTTCTTTCCTTGCTCTTTGCTTTCTTATTGTTCCTATTTTTCTTTTCTGGAAGTTCAATTTCATTCGGATCCTGTAATCTCTGTAAATGTTCCAAAGCCTCAAGACACGGGCCGCCTCTGCAAACATCTCCAGTGGCGAAACGATCTATTACAAATTTTTTTCCAGGTTTCTTTGTGAATTTAAATTCGATATTTGGTTCATATGGTACGTAGGGATTGTTTGTAACATTTTCATTGTAAAGCGTTTCTTTTGGATATTGATCTTTTTTACTTTTATTTTTCTTATGTCTACGATATAAGCTGAGAAGAGATATTTTAGCTGGTTTAGATTTCACATTGTATATCGGATTGATATTTTCTTGGTAAACATCGGGCTTATAACTTTCGTAATAAGGATCTATTTGTTCTCGTTCTTTAGTTTTATAAACAGCCTTCGGCTTTTGTAATTCATTATCCCAGATGTGCGTAGTATCAGTGTCCCCATACAATTTTGTAATAGATTGCCAATTTCGGTCGTGTTTAAAAACATCCTTTCTTTTATCCTTCTTTCTACATTTGCAAGAATTTGATTGAGTATTTTTGTTTTCTTCTACTTCTGTATTAGACATGGCATATGCAGTTTCATATTGTGGAGACGCAGTCACAGCGTCTTTGACGCCAAATACTCTTTGAGTTCTCTTCTCATGCGTTTTTCGAGTCATTATTCAATGACTTATACATTTGTTTACTCAAATTTCAACTACACTTCAATCATTTTTATATACCATTCTTAACCATTCACTAGTACTAGTATTTTAATACTAGCATTAGCTATTAAAACCTATACCACTTTTCATTATTTTCGTTGATGTAATTTAACAAAAATTTATAATTTTGAAATTATCTCCAAATTACGTTAAGCCGAAAAATTATACACACCCTAAATTTATGAAATACGTCTAAATGACATAGTTAACAAAAAACAAACCATTTAAGTATTTATAAAGCTATGTACATATATAAAAACTATTTGTAGTCAATACATTATGAACAAGATGGAAGTACTGATATACCACAACAAATCAACAAATTGATACCTTGAACATCTTAAAAAATATTAGTGTTAAAGATCAACATGTACTTATGTATTTAAAGCTATCTCATTGTTATGTAAATTTTTTAAACCCCATTGAATATGATTAGTAATAAGTTTATATCAATAATTATGATTATTTAATACTCTTTCGTGAAATTGTAAGTATAATTCATATTAATCATCGAAAAAATTTACATTTGAGTACGAATACACTAGAACCAAAATGAAAATTCTTTTCATACATAAATTTTAAGTTGAATTTAAAGTTAACAAAAATAAATGATAGATGGATGTATCTGAAATAGTTCAATAATTTGTTAAATGTTAGGGTGGTTTCACATTAACATTTCAAACGCGTTTATGAGCTCGTTTTTGAGAGCCTATGTGTACGCTAGCGCGTATAAGCTCGCCCTTTGGCACACATTCATCTCATATGGGCGTTGACGCGCTTCTAAGCTCGTATAAGCGGGAGCCGAGATGAGCGAGAGACTTCATTTAGAATTACTTCCCCGTTCTGGGTAAATTGTATTAATGTGACTAGTCATCAGTCTTGAATCTTGACGCAACTATCGGTAATACCCAGTATTTTTTATGTCCTAGTCGATTTTCAATAAGTCACGCAAGTAGTAATATTTTTTCGTCAGAATCCATGTTGATGTTAACATGACACCACTGGTTAGAGCGAAAATCGAAGTCGAAATGTGCCCGTTATGGGTGTCCGGTATTTTGTAGCGCCTATTCTAAAACGACCGTATAAGAGCAAAAAATACTCTAATCTGAAATCACTTTGTTATTCAAACTTTATACATTTTGTAACGATACAATTATTAAGTAGTTTAAATAGATGTATTATACAACATAAATGAAAATTAAAGCTTAGCATAAATTAAATAAATATATATATATCAAAACTGTTTTAAATTGAATTCTGAATAAGTTCACATAACGATATAAAGTTATTCAAAATTCTGTTTTCAAGGAGCTAAAATATTATTTTGTATTATTTAATCCAACAATACTTGAAAGTAAAATAACTTACTAAACAATTGCTGTATTATTAAAAGTTAAAAATAGTAAATCACTGTTACGCTATTTTACGTCTAGCAACTCTAACAATCTAATTTCAGTGTCACCTGTCAATTTTAATTTGTACTTGGTAGTCATTCTAGGGTTTTAACTCTAGTTTTATGTTAAGTGTCGAACAGTTAACGTTTGCTGGTTTTATAGATTTCTTGCTTAAATTCGAAGCAAGCATCGAACAAAGAACACGTTAATACGTCTATTACCTAAGTTATACGTGAATCCGGTTTTTTTTTGCGGTGAATAAATTATTGCATCAAAAGTTATTGAGTTTTTTAAGCGTGCCAAAATGTTAAATTATTTTCTTCTGTTTGTCTGTATTGGTAAGTTTTATTCCTTATAAAAGGTATGAAGAATGAAGTAGTTATTTAATTCTGGCACATTTTTTTCTCATTCAATCTTTACAAAATATTCTGCTAAGTTATCTTGGGTCCATAGTTCAAAATTTCAACGTCCTTTATACTGATTGACTTAGATACAGTATGTAGGTATAGTCAATAGATATGTATATTTTAATTTAACTTTTAAAACATATTTAATTAATTATTAGAGATATTGTGATTCATTGAACAATATTGACACCTATCTATTTATTTGTTTCATTTTTATTACAATGTATTTTTGTCACTGGTGTAGAAAAGTAGTAAAAAAGTATTGTTTTTTATTCTATTAAAATGTTTTGTAGGTGTGGTGGTTGGTCAAGAACCTAGTTTAGAAGATGCCCTTGCATCCTTACCGCCCGATCTTCAAGGAAAAGTTGATGAGAACCAGATAAATGAATTAAAAAACAAAACAGGACAACTATTCCAGAAGAAATGTGAAGAGAATGGAGGTTTGGATGCTTTCCCAAAGGCAGAGGTATGTTCATTTAGAATTTTATAACTTCGTTTTTTTTTCATGAAACCAATACAAATGGTATTAATTTTTACATAATGTGCGATTATATATATACATTTTCGCTTTCTCAACACTGTTATACAAGTTGTTGTCTTGTGCAAACATGAGATGATTGGCAATTTTTTCATCATTTATGTAAATAACTACTTACTTCAAATGACACATTTATTACAGTGAAGAGCTATTCAATTGTAGGTTCAGTTCCAAAGACAATTTGATTATTATATCCACTGTTTGCAACATGCGTTGTTTTGTGAATAGCAAAAAATTAAATTGCCAATATTTTAACTAAAATTGCTTTGTCATATATTTGTGTCATATAACTCAGATATAAAACAATGTCAATATTACTATGGATATAAACACAACAAAATAAGTCCTTTGTTAGTAAAATGTCATGTTTATAGTAATTTTAACATGAAACAATGTACAATAAATGTCAAGTTCAAATTGAAGATATTTTATTTTTAATTTTTTTGTTGTTTATAACTTTTCCTTGTCATTCTACATCATAAGTATACATATAATAATTTTCTTTAGCCTCTGCTATCAAATTAACCATATTTCTCAAAAATTCATTTCAATTAACATAATTTTGTACCAAACAATTGTAATAGTCATTATGAAATGGCATCATAACATCCATTTAATTATTGTGGTCATTAATATCAATTAAATATTTAAAACCATTGTATTTTATGTAGTAATGAACTTCAAATAAGGTAATCATTGTCAATTAGATCAAAAGATTTCTATGCAGACTTATTAATTGCCATTTAGTTTTTTTATGCCATTTTTATAACTACCAGTTATTATATTCTGCCAATAATACTTGGTATATGACCTCATTTAGAAATTACGTGACAATTTAATCTTAAAAAAGTTTGTATATCAAATCTACGGCCTACAGAACTGGCAAACTCTCCTGGCGATATTGTCAATGTAGCAGAGCTAACAGCAGTATACATTACAAAAAGAATATCAAATCTCTTACTGAACATAAATGTGGGATAAATCTTATGTGAAGTTCATTATTAACACAATGTATAAATAGGCATGATATTTAATTTCAATTGCGTAACTTTTTATATAAAAAAATACATTAGCTATTTAATATTCTTCATTAGTGTACTTGACTATAACAAGGTTATGGGTATATGTAAATAATTATTATCCGTCTTTATATTTTTATTTCTAATATTTTTCGAGTTTGTCTATAAGTCTTAACAATACTTTTTTCCCTCTATTCTGGAGGTTTAAATCGTTACAGTGAAGGTTATAGTTTTAATTTACTGACAGTTATTTTGCCGCGTTATTTCCGTCCGGAAATGTGAATATGCTCTTTTTAAAATTTAAAAAGAGCACGGTCGATTTTGTATATATATGTATAATAAAAGGTCACCGTGAAAGTTTCATAATTAAATTAAACGAGGCCAATTCGATTAAACAAGATAATGATAAAGATATCACATGATGAAATCGAAAATATACAATCATTAATTATAATACAAATATTTGTAAAAACTTGGATCGCTATTGAATATTTTTTATGATATAGCTGCATTCGTGCTGGAGTCATGGAATATTTTGCCAATGTCAACGTTTTATTTGTTGGACGAATTATAATCTTGAGTACTGTGTAGAGAAAATACGAAGGAGTTTGTTGAATGTAATAAAGGTGTTAATATTATTATTATTTTTAAATAATATTAGTTATATTTTAACCAGCACCTAGAAGAACAATATTATACTTATGAGTATAAAAAGTAACACTACACGTCGTTGTCAGTAGAACTTTGATCTTTATTCATTTAACCGGTTTTTATAAATATTTGTTAATTATTATGCCTAAGGTTTTCTGAACTTGAACTTTTAGAGTTAAACTACCAAGCTTATTTATATTACTGTCTTTTAATATCATATATATTGTTCATCTGCCCTCTTTACTTAATAGTCACATTGGTAATTTGGCTAATCGTTCACCCGTAAAGATTATAAAATGATTAGTTACTACAATTTTATGGTCGGTGGTTAAGGCTTATCATAGACGTAAGACTATTTTGGTTTTGTTTTTTTTGTCGCTTTAATATTATTACAATATGTTATATATATACAGTGATATGGAAATTGTCTGCCGTGTGTAATGTCCCTTACTGTACAATGAATAACGATAAAAATTCAAGTAGCCGCAACGGCTTTATTATACAATAGCCTTATTATATTAGATTAGTGGATGATTGCGTGACGCATGGGAACACAATGAGCTGAACAATGACTTATTTTTGCCTCCAGAGGGTCATACCAACTTGGTAGGCATGGGCTTGAATTATAAACAATTGTATTTACATGACTTCCTACAAATTTAAAATTTTAAGGTTTAATTTAAGATTTTTTAATATTACAAAAGATCTGTCTACTATTTCTTGCGTGTATACAATTTTTAAGGATTGTCCTTATTACCAAAAGAGTCAGGTTAAAATCTTTTATATTTGATTTCTCATATAGCATTTATTTGATACGTTTTTTAAGATATTTAATAATATCTTCATACAATTTTGCTTCTTTAAATAAATCTTAACTGTCATGTGGGTACAAAATATGGTTATATTTCGTCATGGTAATATGATTATATGACTTCATACGGGAAGAAACGTTTATATTGAGCATCGTATTACACACTTCAATTGAAATTGTTTTTTCTTATGCTTGCCTCATATAAATAGGTATATTCTGCGTAAGTAAGATCCTCGTTATAAAGTATATTGTTCTATTTTATTACTCAACTTATTATTTCTGCTTACTCTTTTTAAATTTTGCTTGCATATCTATAATATAAATAATTATTCTATACACCGATAAAGGAAAAAAATGTTTTTTGCTATAAACACATGACGTTAGAGGAAAATGCGCACATTCGACAGTCATTAGGCGTAATTAAAGAATTGTGTGTTAATACATATAATTATTCTTTTTACCCTTCCGGGTGTCGTTCATACTTGGGGACGGCTAACAGTAATAAAAGAAGTGAAATAATAATAAAAATACTCATATACTCTTAGCAAAATATGGTTAATTGGAAATACATAGAAATGCTCTAGCAAAATGCTGTCGCATAGAGATGTTGCTATCTGTACGTAGGACTGGCATAGATAATTATTATTAATTTTAGTACATTTCCAGATTATTTGGCGAATTATTATAAGATTTCACGCCACCTTTTCACTGCTTTTATATGTAATTTTTCTTTCCCCTGTGCCAATTAAATTGAACTATTCTACTAGTATTTGTAAGTTTTGAAATAGATATAAGAAATAAAAATCGAATGCTTACGAGCTTTAATGTTTCCCATATAATAAATGTTGATAGTAAATTTAACAGCGTAGTATCAAACGTGTAGCAAACATTTTAACTTGACTTGCAATTGTTTCTTTATCGGGTACAAAGTACCAAAACAATATGTCTAGCTAATATTATCTGGCCAATACGTAGAATACATTTATATTAGCCTACATATCCTGTAACCTGTTTGTATGTATGCATGTTGTGTATCATTATACCGTCCCCCAGTTCCGCTTGCAATTTTTGTTATATCTGCATGAATATTGCTCATATTTTTTATTTACCTGTAAGCTTAGTTCAGATTCATGCCTAGCTATATTTGAAAACTAATTTATCTATCATTATTATATGGTTAGTTAAAATCGTCACAATTTTTTTTCTACTGCCGCATCTAATATTATACTTCGTAATGTTTAAATTTTGTTTACAATGTAAAATATTTATATAAATAAATCTGTATAAACATGATTAGGATAGAATTACTTTTATGTTTAAATTTTAACGAGCATTAGTGGATAAGTTTGATTTAAAAACAAAATTTAGTCAGTAGGAACCAAAAATATATTTTTAGAAATTATGACCAATAAATTAGAATAAACCAAAGTAGCAAATTTTCTATCAAGATCAAATACAACGCAATCTACTAAGATGATTATAGTTTTAAGAAATTATTCGACTCAATGCGCACGGCTTTACCTCTTGAAGGGAACTGTATTTTAAGAGATAAAATAACTCAGACCAACCTTCTATTTCTTACCAGATTAATTAAACAGAATTCCAACATTATTATAGTACTAGACATAGAATTATGTTTCGTGAATTATTATTAACATTCCTCTTTAAAAACAGATAATGAATACCTATACTAAATGTGTTGCTTAAAAATAATTAAAATCGCTTTTATTCAATTAACTTACAGGAGACCGATTTTAAGAAATTGTTACTTATGATTTATAGATGTTTGTACATGTTTAAATAACAACAAAAAATAAACAAAAATTTGACCCTAGTCTATGGCATTATGTAAACAGTGCCCCTCAGAAAATAACTAATGTTTGAATTTTAATTTCACATTTTGACAATCTGTTTGTACTACAACACAGAAAGAGAGGTGTTATGAGTTCGACGTAGGTGTCTGTCTGTTTGTGTCTGTTGTAGCATCGTAGCTCGCAAATTGATCGACCATTTCGATGTTTTTTTTCATTTATTGGGTTGGTTCTGACCTATATTCCATTTCTGATCAGCAGTGTCCAAGTACTTGCTCTTTGCCAAAATGACTAGAGGCGTTTTTTTCGTATAATAACTCGATAGTGGGTCAGCGTGCCCGAATGATCGTTAAAAGACAATTAGGTCATATGAGGTTATAATTAAGTTAAGATATGAAACAAATCAAATGTAGCGCCACCAGTATTATAAACAATATTTTAGCACTAACAAGTTTTCTATGATAGCATTAGAATTCAACCTACAAAGACTGCTAGATTATTAAACAAAAATTATGAAGTCTTAGTGACTCCTGGTTACTGCCTTAAATTTTTTACTTAGAAAGACTTTCTATAGTTTTACCATCTTGACAATGCACTTTCAGTTCCTAATATGTGTGAGGGTAAATAAGTTGTCACGGGCTTATTGACACGAAATATTCGACTACACCCTTGTCTACCTGACGCTGACATAAGCTTTGTGAATGTAACACAAGGGTCACATGATAATTAATAATATCTTTATATTTTTATCCTTAAAATCTTGACCAATTAAATTTTAAGCCGTCTTTTTATCAGATCTCAGGAATAACTCTTTTGACTACAGAATGCAGTACTAGTTTTGCAAGTCTTTACAATTTCTTCTATATTTACTTTTTAAGGGCTCTATTATAGAATATAATAGAATAACTTCAACATTATAACATCCTGTTTGAACACTAGATGTATATACATGTATATTTACTAGTTATTGTTTGCGACTTCGTCTGTGTCTGTGGTATTGAGTTCAGAAACAAATGGACAATGTGTATCCAATATATTAAATGTTTTAAACAACCACATGACAGCATACTGCTTACAACTATTATGATGTATTCCCATGCAAACTATGTTTATCAGGCGAAGCGATGAATTAGAGAATATATGATATTCTGACGTCTAAACTATATAATTATAAAGTTTCATCAAAATCGATTCAATATATTTTATGCGACAGCGCGGCAAACATCCATAATATATCCTCACAATCCTTCCCATTTTTTATATTAAGGTAGATGTGAGTTTATTTATGTGTAGAAATTGTTTCGTTTTTATTTTAATGTGCATTTTTTCTCCTTACTATTTTATGTAACATATACTTTACTACAATTCTTATGAATGATACTAAGTGTTCCCAGTACTAAATAAAAAGAAATCATTGATAACTACTCAACTTTACTCCAAATAATATAAATAGTAGTAGTAGCGAATTACTTGGCTTACATTATTGTTAGAATTTAAAATAACATAAACTCACTAACTATTGAGCTAATTACATATAAATTATATACATATGTTTATTATAAAACAGTTCTAATTGATTAGGATATTAATATTACAACTACACGTTTATATCTGTAACACATTTCAATACCTAAATTAAAATGTATACTAGAGCCTTCTTAGAATTTTAACCGTTTAATCTCTAAAAAAATCTCTATTCCCACGTACAGTAAGTACATCACATTTGAACAATACATTATTTATGGTAATTTATATTTAGTTACCGGGTTGAAATTCTCAATGAAAAATTAAAACTCGTTTCAAAGGTACAAAGCGTCGGTTTAAAATTATGCTTGCGTCCTATAAGCTTAGATACTGATTGGATATAATAAAAATATATATTTTTAAATAAAACAAAATTTCCGATCTCTTTAACTATTTATTTTATTCAGACTGTTTATATTGAAATATTCCAATAGTTATTTAACAAGTTAAAAATGTCTCATTCATACTCTACGGAGGCATAATAAGATAATCATCTCGACAGATGCTAACCGCAAATTGTCATGCGACTATCGTATGTATTGCTAATATGTTAATGTAGTGGAAAATTCTCACAATCAACTTTTTTTTTTTATTTAACTTGATAAAAAATTGAGTTATGAAATGATTTATTAATTATATTTAAATTAATGTTAGGGATTTATTCATTTTGTATAAAGTAGTTATGTGATTTTATTTAAATTTATTTTTGTCCTACAAAATATTTTTTCCGTACATTGTATAAACAGTGCCATATTATATATAATCTTAATAAGAAAAGCCGTTTCATAAACAAATTTAACTCTTTATTCGTACGAGCACACTTTAAGCCATGTACGTCCAATACATTAACACAAAATGACGTTGGCATGAATCCAAACATCTATCTCATCAGTCTTTGTTCTCAATGAGAATAAAGACTAGTTTTTTTTGTTTATCTTTCCTTTCCTTACCTTTGTGTTGTTTATCTTTATCTCTTTTGTGTTCTTTCTTTGTCGTTAGGAATGGATTTTCAGTATTACTTCGCTATTGATTCAGAATAGCTTGTGTTCGTTACGTGCATTTATCGACATTTTGGTCGTACAACAATACATTATTTTTCAAAATTTTAACGATTTATATATAGCCATGCTTAATAAGAATTATTGTAAGTAAAAGATTATTAAGAACAAGTTTATCAATTTCAGACCGCGTTCCAAGTTTTCAAAGATTGCATCCAAGATCTGGTAAATCCAGAAGTTTTGCAGAAGGAAATCAAAGATGCTACGCCAACAGGTCAAGTCGACGAAGTATTCAAGAAGTAAGCTTTAATATACAAACTATATGTTATTTCATTAAAATTAACATACATTATTTTATATAAAGGTCACGGTGACCCATAGGTTAAAGGTCCGCCTCTCATCCATGAGAGCGCGGGTTCGAAACCTGTCAAGTACCAATGTGATTTTTTCGAGTCATATGCACTTTCTAAGAACATTAAGACACCACTGACAAACATCGTGAGGAAACCTGGATTTGTAATTTCAAATTATAAGTTTGAAATCACCAACCCGACTTGAGCAAGCGTGTTGATTAATGCTCAAAACTTGTTCATGTGTGAAGAGGCTATGCTCAGCAGTGGGCTCTGATAGGCTGATAATGATGATGATTTTATATAATATTTAAAGGTACTGCTACAAGAAACCAGATTTCAAAGGCTGCTTCCAAAACATGACGGAGACAATAAAGCCCTGTTTCTCAGTTGAAGAACAAAAGAATCTCAAAACTATATACAACATCTCGGAACAGTTGGCTGAGTTTATATGCTTCAAGGACGGTGATAGAATTGCACGTGAGTTAAAAATTATAACCGACTTGGTAATTGTAGGTTCTGTATTTAACCATATACATATATATTACTTTTTGTTTCATTTTCGTTATGCTAGTCTAACCAGACATATTTTCTTTGAGACGATCCTAAGGCAATATAATACTGAATTTATTTATTCCAAAATACAATCGAATCGGTTGAGTTTGAATTATACTTCTTTATAAGTTCATTAATTATATGTCACATGAACCTACACGTATATATATTTATTAGTATCTTAAATGATAAGTGTACACCAAAATGTATATTTAAAATATGATATCATATCTATGTGTACTAAAGTGCAATAGATTTAATATTGATTTACTATACATATCAGTAACATTTTATTAATTATCGTGTATTGATCTAGATTCTGTTAGCCAACTTGTAATAATACATATAAAAGTTTCAAATTGATATTCAAATAAGCTAGCTGTTGGGATGATTCGGATTTTTCATTCAAATATGTTTAAGAATTCTTACCACAAGTTTTACGACGTTAAAATTAACATTTTCGGTTTTTCATTCATATATCTACGCTTATGCTATAAAGAAAAAATTTATGAAGTAAAATTGAAAATCTTCTGTTTAGTATATCGATTCGAAGTCATGGTACGATCACTGATCAAAATTCAGATATCCAAATTATTTCAGATAAAAATGTACTTTTGTGATTTAGGTTAGAGTTGTTTTTACCTTATCGTGATCGTGAAATACATAATTCAGTGCTTTATTCCGTATGAAATTCGAATATTCTATTAAAGATGAGAAAATATAAAATTCATTGGTTTATCGTAAACAGTTATATGTAGAATAATTTACTGTCTTAAAACAAAAAAAAATCAGAAAATATTTAAGAAGATGAAAGTAACTTTTTGTAAAAAAAAGGGTTTTTTAAAACCTTTGACTTTTGGTCGAAAAGTATATTAATATATATTTTTTCGTTATTAAAGTGTTCATCTCTGAAAATGGTCCCGAATGTTTAACTGAGAAACAGGAAGCGATTGAGGAGTGCTTCAACAAGACATTAGGAGCTGACCTGAAAATACACCAACAAAACTTCTCTATAGACAACCTGCCGAAAATACAGTTTGGGGTGAGTTAAACCTTATTACACCATCACTCCTCCTCCTCCTCCTCTACCTGGCAATTTCCCAGCTATAGCCAGGGTCTGCCTTACATGTTTTTAGAATAGTTTTGGCTATTTGTTTTTATTACACCATCACTGTTGAATGATTTTTTTATATGGCAACACTGTTTTATATGTAATTTATTGTCAGTTGGCAACACCACCTAAATACTATTTATATGATTAGAACGTATAGAATTTAATATTTTATAATATTTTACTAGCTATACAAATACGAATAAATGCACAATAGGCATGTGATTAAAAGGAATCATTTATAATTAGAAATCTGTTCTGCTTAAATTAAAATATATTAAAAACAAAAATTTTAAAAAGTTCTGGTAGTTATTTACTAGGAAATAAATACTATTTATACTTTTCTCTGTATATTCGACGTAATACTTTTCTAAGAATGGAAATTGATTTATAATAACAGTAAAATTTTCAAGTTCCATAACGAATAGAGAAACTGAATAATTTTACCATCACTTATTTGTCACTTAAGAATCCATTATATTGGGATCGTGTAGATTTGTAGACTAGAAATTAAAATCCATGTGCTCAAGTTAACAATTAATGTAAGAAAAATCTGATAATTGTAAGCACAATATAGAAATTCGTGGCTGTAAAAAATCACCTAGCTACATTATATATTATTAACATGTATTTTTTCTTAGGACAAAGAATGCGGGCAATTCGCTGATCTTCAAAAGTGCGTAGTGTCTTCTTTAGAATCTTGTGAGGCGCCAACATCTGCGAATATCATGGAATCGCTGTTCAAATTCGCAAGAAAAGCTACCCCATGCAAGGAATTACCGGTAATTATCCTTATTACTTTTTACCCTCATGTACACAATTATAAATACATAGTTCTTACCCACTTTAGGTTTACTTTCACATACATATATATAAACTAGACTATATTTATCCAATTGCTGTCTTAAAGAAAGACTAGGTTTGCACCACAATAAGTACTTATAATCTTGGCATTAAAAATCCACTATACATACACATATATCTCCTAAGAATTTAAATATTTAATTTAATGTCTTCATTAGGAAAACGACGGCACAGCTACTGGTCAAAAAGGAGTAAGTTTTAATAATGAAATAAATTCTGCTTGGCATACTATTCTTGTGTCTGTTATGCTTTTTTTGTTCTTCTGAGCTATAAACTCTTGCTTAATCATTTCTGTATATCATTTGGTATATAGCACATTTGTTAGAAAATAATATTTTCATTACATGAATTACCTAACTTAAACTAGCCTCAGTTTAAGTTTATTACAACTTTTGTATTTGTATTGCCATTTCAATCTTTTGTATATAAACTCATTCTGGTGATATTTTTGTTTGTTGCTTCATTATTTATCTCCTTTGTTCTTTGTGTCTGTCCTCGCTTTTCCATTATTTTTAACTTTGTTTTTGTTTTAATTGCTTTAGTGTGTATTATTTGTGTGTATACTTTAAATCTTCCTATTATGAAATTATCTACTCATGATTTAAAATATTAAAAGACTTGTTATTATTTCAGGAAAAGGGCTTCAATTCAGCGAACACATTGACTGTGAGATCCTTTGCAATGGTTGCAATACTATTTTCTTTAATCATATAAGTTTAAACTCATGACTCTCTGGTACGATTTTATATATTTTTTATATTTTTCAAGAATTTTGCCATAATTGATTATCTTTCAATTGATTTACCAGAAGACCTTCAGGAAAAATATATTAGACATACCCTGTTTTTCAATTTTTGAATACCTTATTGATTTAATACAGAAATGGCAAAATTCACCTACATAGTAGTTCTAAGTTACAATTAGTTTGTACTGTAGTGTATGTTTCCCAAACAAATTACCAAATAAATTCATTTTATATATATAAATATAAAGCCAATAGTTAGCCAAGATATATGCTTCCATCCGTACTAAAAGTGCTATATTTACAGGCCATATAGGTGTTATTTTTGTATAGATTTATTGTAAGCTTAAACTTATTTATGACTGGCTTCATGGTACTACTAGAATTAGCAGTTTTATATAACAGGTCACATAATCAGCTTGTTGTTAGTGCCAATTTTTAATAGTAATAAATTTTATAATATCCTAGTTATATATATTATATAGTCTTTATCTATTGGAGCCAGTTACTTGTACAACGACATATCCCTTTGATTTTAAATCATAGCTGTAAGTCTACATTCCATATAGAAAAAATTACAGGCTGTTGTATTTTTTTTAATATATGTTTTTTTTATATTTTTATAGATCTTTGTTAGTCTTTTGTAGAGCGTGTAGTGCTTAGTGGTTTTCATTTTGGTATTTGTGACGATATTGCTTTATAAATTATTAAAATGGTGGTTCAAAGTTATAATGATACTTTTATTTAATCCCTGAATCCTTTTTTCCTCAATTTTAAATAGAAAATTAGTGCAGCAACATGATAATTTATTTTACGTAAGCGTACAAACATTATTACAAAAAATATGTACCTAATAGTGTTTTTGGTTACTCAAACAACAACTAGTAGCTTCAAGTGTCAGGAAATCCCAAAATGTAGAACTAAGAGGAACTTCCAATTAATTGAACTAGTTCCTTAATGACTTAAAGTGCGGAACTAGATCAAGCGGTCGATAGTACACTTACGTTAGTAAGTTAGTGATGACTTCAATGAAGGAGGTTTGATATCAAAGGAATGTCAAAATAGCCCGCGCTCGCTGTGACAGTCACTGTCAATAGCTTGGAAGTTGAGTACAAAGCAGTTACGTATCTGTGTTATAACATGATATATTTATAAATAATACTTTTTTTTCTTTATAAATACTACACAGTCACCATGCACCAATTTGATAATGGTTTTGAAGTTTAATTTAATTAGAGTGGACATTTGACTATAAAAAATACGATTTTTTTGAAAATATTTTAGTTATTTTCAAATGATTTTAAACAGTTCGAATTGGTGCGTAGTTGCCATATTTAAGAAAAGGCGCGATGAAACTGTAACTTTGCGTTTAATTTGGGAAATATGATTTCATCTTGTTATTTAAATTAATACGATGTTATGTTTTTATTATGTATGAACGTGAACAAATAATAAAACCTATAAAGAGCAGATTGAAATAGATATTTTTATAAACAGAATTGTGCAATTACGACATAATTAATTAGAGTTCTTTTTGCTTCGTATTATTTTAAATCATGTTTTTCCTAATTGTAGAAAGTCTATAAAATTGTAGTTTAGTTTTCAGACCCAACATCTCTTACATTTTAGTTATCTTTAGGAATTTGTGGATTGTTTTGTTGTCCCACTAGTATTTGACATTCAGATGGATAAGAAAGTGATCTTATAAGGGATTTGATTTTTCTAATTAAGGTAAAAATATAATTCAAAATGATTACTTTAATTATTACAGTGCTAAGATTTTTTTAAATAAAATTAAGTAAGCTTAAAGAAAACCTTTCTTTAAAACGAGTGTTTCGAGTAACCTCTCATAAATAAAAAAGAATTTCTTAAACCGGTGCAGGAGTATTCAAAAAATCGGATGACATACATAAAAAAAGATTAATTCCAATTTTAAACCTCATGAATTTTTAAAGTTGTGTAAAAATAAATAAACATGTATGAAGAAATATTTTATTACCAACTAATGTTACATTTTGTAATGGTACTTGCAAAATTTTCCGAGATCTTCAGACTTCGTTCTTAGACATCCTGAAACAATTTTAAATTGTATTGCAAAAATTGTAGTAAGTATTTTACATAATTAAAAATAAAAAAGAGTTTTATTTAAAAAAAATCATGGCGTCTATAGTCTATGGCCTTTGAAGAAAATTAAAGAAGTTTAATTGCCGATGTTATGGTTATAGAATTAGCTATTATATTGTATAATAACTATATAAATGTTCTCACCTTGCAAGGCGAATCTTTCCTTATGTATCTGAACAGCGACTCCGCCATGTTCCCTGGTGTGGGAGTGTCACATTCCTCTAAAGCCTTCACTACGCATGACGTTAGCTCGTCAACCTTCTTGCATTGATCCTGTTTTACGAATAATTCACATATAAATATCGTCTTAACTTCGCCCGTAAGTTGTATTATATTGTGACTTTTTCAATATATACAGTGGAGTCTTCACCTAATGTGGGTTTAAAATACAACCGCGTTGAACTAAGCTTTTGATTTGATACCAATATGTTAAGAATACATTAAAAATATCGTGTCCGCAACGTTGAATCTAGTACCATGTGACTCATCTGACCTAACGTGTATACTTAAATTTAGGCCAATTGAATAAAGATATCAGTTTCAAAATTAAGTTCCAAGATTTCATTTGAAACATATAGGTACTAACGTACTTTACAATTTAAATAAAACCTTGTAAAAAACAAGTTCCATACAAAAGAACCGATCTAGTTTATAAGTAATTTCATCCCGTATTAATACTGCTGAAGTAAACTAGGACGGTTTTTAAATGTATAGGACATTGTCTTGATTTATTAATAATTATACTAACGGCCAGTTTGAGTTTCTTGGCTTCATCGAAGTTACTCAAAATACTCTTGATGCCTGTGGTGCATGACTCGATGGCAGAGGCTTTGTCTCTGAAGCATTCGGGGCCGCCTTCAGCAATGAACACTGGAAATATACGTAGTTATTCGTTTATGAAATTTTTGAACAATCCTACATACGAATCTAGAAGAGAAAGTCTAACCGAAGAACCAAAGTTTCTTTCTCGTTATAACATTAAAAAATGTGGTTTATGTCTTCAATGTTCGCAGTACAACTAAGGTATTAATAGCAACGTCCATTTAATAAATAACTAAACTGTATACTCACTAGCTATCCTATCACCATCCTTATAGCAGACGAAGTCTATGAGCTGGTCAGTAGCTGAGTCTGCATAAGGGATCCTCTCCCGCTGACTCTGGTCCAAACACGGCGACACGGCCGCGGTCACGTCGTGGATACAAGTCTTCAACTGAGGTGACTTCTCGCAGTACCTTTAAATATATGACAAACGTTTTATACATATTAAACTGATGAGATTACTACAATTATCATAACTACGTTATAAGCCTTTCAAATAAAGTATTTGGGTGAAGAAAGAAATATACATATTTATGTCACTGGTTTAATCGAAATTTCATTATTGAAGGGATGTTTAAAACGTGTACCTATATATCGGCTGAAATATAATAAGTAAAGCATTCTAGGTGACATTATTTTAAATTTTGAAGTATTGCTTAGGTTTGATAAATGCTATTTATGGTGGGAGAAGCTTATAAAGCTTTCCATGTGTTTATTTAACTTAAGTTGATCGTGTTTAATATAACATCAGGATACAGGATCACAAAAGTAAGTACTTAGTACCTATTGCGTTTTTCACTTACTTCTTGAACACCTCATCAAGAGCTCCTTTGGGCTTGGCTGCTTCTATTTCTTGCCTAACAGTATTGAAATCGAACAGACCCATCAGACAATCAACGAACTGTTTGATTTTGTTCTGAAATTAATTGTTGTCACTCAGAATTTTCAAAATCTTATTAGGTACGATTTATTACATAAATACTTCAGTTTAAAGAACTTTATTCTCATTATGACAACGTCATTTACATGAGAACTTATAACTAACTTATAAAATATATAACAATTCGTTTGGATCAGCAAAACAGATGAGATAACAGTTTCAATTAATTATTTTAACAGAGAATCGTTACAGAGAATATGGTTATAAAGTCGAGATTTAAACATAGAAAAATTTGTTAGAGTTTTTACTTGTTTAGGTAAGTTGTTATACAGTTTTGCTCCCTCAAAAATAATCATCTTTTTTCCGCTCTTAGTTCTAGTTTTAGGCAGTATTAGATGGCTAGCAATTCTAGTTGCGTATTTGTGTAATTGACCTTTGCTTTCGAAAGATATTTCTGTATGTATTTTTTTGTCTAAGATTTTACGTATAAGAATACAAGTAGTGTAGTTGTATAATTGCTTAATATTCATTAATTTGGTTTCTTTATAGACTTTATCTGAAGGTGTTAAATAAGTACTTACCACAACTTCGTCAACTTTGTCCTCAGCGTTGTTTTTTTTGCATACATTTTTTATCATTTCTTTAACATGCTCTCGTTGTTCATCGGTGACCTTGTATTCTGCTAAGACACCTACAATCAAATTTATGTTTAAGAACCGTTTTAACTTCCACCTTCTAAGAACCGATTGATAACTTTAAATCTAAAGACGTCGTGAAAAGTATCTAATAAACAAATTTTAAATACCTACATTCAGTCTAATGGTCGCAATTTGTAATTTGAACTACTCAGATTATTTAAGTTGCTTGGACACGTACATTTTAATTTTATTTATAATTCACCGAAAGGTAATGAATTATGATAAACTACGTTATTGCCATAATTTATCCAAATAATTATTTGGATACTATTATAATTCAAACAGTTATAATAAAACCCTTTGTAAATATTTTTATGCGACTAAGGAATATTGAAACGAAAATATTTATGGACGAACTGTAACATTCTCGTATTTCAAAGTAATTACCGGGTTTATACATAGAAGAATGTATTCTTTCCTTTGAAGATACCTAATATAAAATACCTTGTATAAAATATTGAATTTTTTCATGAAATATTTTCAACAAGATTTTCTTATAATTTTTCAACTTCGTTCAATTAAAATAAAAGTAAAGTTTTAGGATAAAACAATATACTACCAACGTTTTGGTTTCTTTGATATAACCATGGTCACGGATAGACGAGATGAAAACGTCGGGAGTAGGTAGTTTCAAAATAATAAAAAAACGTGTAGTGTATTCAATAATTTGAATTATATTTTAAATAATACAAGCTAAAAACTTAGATATCATTAATTAACTTCTTCAATGTTTACTTTATCATTTAGCTATACATAAGATAGAGAAGTGACAGAAATGACGTTCGTGCTGGAGAGATTTATATAGAATTATTTTTATATTAATTATTGTTTATCTTTAAGATTATACAACAATAACAACCTTTTAACCTTTATAACTATCTAGAAAAGTTCATGATTAACAAATCATTTGTTGAAGAGCTGTTATCTGGCAACACTGACGGTAAACAGAAGCTCGAAAAATAATTATTTATAAATATACTTTGTCGAAAACATACTACGCTTTAGTGCAAACTTGCCTAATATATAGAATATTTTAACATAGCTTAAGCTATTTGTATTGGTTACGAAAACTGAGTATTGATTTTAGGTTTTTTAAAACGTTGTCGCCAACGACAAACAGGAGGTAAGAGGTTAACGCACAGAGTTAAGTAAGTAAACGCCATCCAGCGGCACTTTAGAGATAAATTGGTAAATCGCTCATTGCACAGGAAGAGGGGACTGGATGCAATGTCATGAAACAATCATACTTGTACGTGTTATCTATATGTGGGTTACACGTAAACGATAACTCACACATACATACTATATTGTTCGCAGTAAAGACGAAAGACGATAGAATTGATCCCTTCTATGATGAGAAACAATGCAATTACGAAAATCAACAATTAGTATTCCATTAAAAGGTTCTTATATACGTCTTATTTGAAATATTATTTTGTATAGAATTCATCAAAGTTAATATAATCAAATATTAGTTTTCTACAAGAAAACAAGGGTCATAATAATTTTGTTAGTTGCGATAACATTGTAATTAGAAATAATTAAACAAAGTTACACAGCAGATAACTTTAATTGTTTCTTTTGTACAAAATATTATTTTGAATAATACATTATTGTATATAAAAATGTAGAATTAATTTTTTATTAAACTTTTTGAAATATTTCAGCATTTTTTTAAATTTTATGATTGATTACAAAAAAGTATAGGTACCTACAATAAAATTTACAAGACCAGTTATAATTATTTTATATTTTGTGATATTATTGCTAAACGTATGTCAAAGTCAAAATATATTTTGATATAACATTTGAAGTTATTAAAAACAATTATAAATATTTAGAATAAAAATGAAATTAAACAAAAATAATACAAAAAATAATAAACTTGCAATTTTAATTTAAAATTATATAAAAAATTGTAAGGAAAGGTGTATAGACTAAATATAAAATAAGTAATCTTACCAACAGCCAAAAAGGCGACTAACATAGTCTTCCAAATCATGTTCGTGTTTTCCAAATCACGTCCTGAGTCGACCCAAGTTGTAAATGGACTGAGACACTGGTGTCCACACTCATTTTATATAATAAACTCATGTACACTCAAAATGGGATTATTCTTACAGTATTCGATATTATTGTCTCATTAAAACTTTGATAAAGACCAAAATGTTAAATTGATTCTCCTGTGTTCAATTTTTAGATATAATTAGCAGTTGTATATTGAATTTATTATTTTTTATAATGTATTAGTAAAGATATATTTGTTAACCCTATCATTGACTTTAAAATTATTTGTTAGTTATTAAGATATACTTAACTATTTATAATACACATCTGCAAAATAATCATTTTCTTAAATATCTTTTGATGATCGAAAAATATTGAATTCTGTATTATTTGAATCTACCAAATATTTATGACCGCAACTTTAAACAAAATATTTAATGACGATTTAATTTCAATTCGTAAGAAATGCATGTTTTTTATTTAAGACGCTTTTTATTTATAATTTCTATTACCAACTAAATGAACGCTTTAAAAAATTATTCCGTCTTCAGCTACAATATTGTAATTAAAAGAAATTTAAACAATAGTTTATTATACTCGTAGTATAGCATCTTCAAACACTAAACCCAAACACACAAACTCTGTAATAACGATGCTCGATATTTTATCGCATGAGTTTTCAGAATAGGCTCCGGTGAAGCATCAAATTAACGATTGTATTGTGAGAGCGGCTTGACCCCAGCAGTCTCCGACGATATAGGCTTTATCGACTTATTGTTTTTTTGTGAATAGATCTGAAATTAATAATAGCTTTGTAATTAATATTGGATTTAAAATCTAAGACATTTCCATGGTTTTTATAAGTGTTAACAATTTAATTACTTAAAAATTATCGACACACTAGCAGACAAATTTGAGTTAAAAAAACATCTGTTTAAAAACACTTTCTTTGAAACATGTATATAACATATATTAAGAAAAACCGGCAATCCAAAATCTCTACCATATTTTTTGAAAAAGCAGATCAATCAAAGATTGGGATTTTTTAAAACAATATTAATCATAGTTTTGAACTCTGACCAACTCCTAAATAATTATTATGTAAATACTCTTTATGCTCACAAATTTAAAAACAAAAAATGCATTATTGGAAATAAATCCTGATTCCCGACAGAACAAGAATGTTTCCAAAAAACAATTTATTTCTTTTAATTATCTCGTGGTCCATAACAAATAATATTATTGTAACAATATTTACTAGTAACTTCTTTATGATCTTATAATTAAATAAATATTTATGCTCATTAGTTCAGTGTCTTTGATTAATTATAATTATTTATAATATTGTTTTAAACATTATGTCCGCAATTGCCATTATTCCGGGAACAATTGTCTCTTGTTTTTTGGTAAAAATGTGGGTTTATTTTTTTATTTACATTAATTTCTCTAATTAGAATCAGTATAAGGTTCGCTGCTCAGTTTTGCACTCATTTGTCATCATGTCAGCTACAATTGAAATAGTCTATTCTTCAACAATTCCAAACTCCAAATGGTTTAATCAATCTTAACTATAAAGAGTAATAACTTCTTTTATACTATCCTAAGTTATTACTTAGGATAGTATAAAAGAAGTTAATTCGGGAATTGTCAGAGAAATGGGAACGTAATCTCATGACGAAAATGTATCTATTCAATACTTGTAAACTTCCAAATATTGAAACGAAGTATAGTTACAAAGTCGTCATGCAAAAACCAAACTATGAACATTTTCAATTATTTATTTACGAAAGATTCTATTGTAAATTTGTCATTACAGAGAATATATTAAATGGCTAAAAGCTATTTGCGACGTTCAACTATGTGTTATCTTCGATATATATAAATTTCCAAGTGTCAAAGGTAAATTACTATTCCATGTCAAATTTTCCAGTCTTATATGAGATATAAAGGTTTGGAAAAAACGTATATTTAGTGTGGACATCACCTATAGTTTATATTTAAGACATTTTCAGATTTATTATAGCCAATTTTTTACGGCAAAATTTTTATTAGTAATATTATTTATGATATATATATAAAGTAATCTTTGCACCCACAATGACTATCACGGAGAGGTCAATGTTATCAGAAGTATTATGAACACGAGGCACTTCGTTGTAATTCAGTGCCAGTATTCGTTTTGACAATTTTGAGGCAATACCTACATTGTAAATACTTTAAACTTCGAAAACAGTGATAGAAATCTTCAAAGATTTAAAATACGTCATAATAGTTTGATCGTCAAGATAGGATTGGCGGGAAAAGTGGTTTAAGTATCTCCAAATCGTAATAATACTTCATCAATATGAAATAAGTATTAATAGACTAGCTTTCCGCCCGCAGCTTCGCCCGCGTGGAGTTCGGTTATATCGCGTTTCAAAAAGAACCTTTCAAAAGTCTGGGATAAAAACTATCCTATGTTCTTTCTCAAGGTCAACTCTATGTCTGTACCAAATTTCATTAAAATCAGTTCAGTGGTTTAGGCGTGAAAACGTAACAGACAGACAGACAGACAGACAGACAGACAGACAGACAGAGTTACTTTCGCATTTATAATATTAGTAGGGATACGTAAAAAACTGTTCATTTCGAATAAGGATAAAATCCATGTTATTAATATCGCAGTCTAATTCGGGGAACCCAGTTATTACAAACTATAACTGATAAGACATTATTTATGTATATGCGTGTATTTCTACCAATCGAAGTTATTAGATTAAATTAATTATAAAACAAATGCATCCTATTGGCCGAAATAATTTAACAAAAATATAAGAGACGTTTACGAGATAAACTCAGATGTTCTAAAACGTAGTCAAGATGAAACCATTTCTTATTTGGAGATTAGCTATTCAAATTGACGATATTAAAGTTATGTGGCTAGTGTGTGTCTTGTGTTTGTGTGTTACGGTGAGTGGTTTAAATCTAAGTGAAACAAAAAAATCTGCCAAAGAAAGAGAGAATCTATTACTCATATTGACAAGGTCCAGAGTTGAAGAAAAAATTCTACCTGAAGAACGGAAACCTTTTATGGATTCAACACTAGGTGTACATTCAGAGTTCCTAAGTTACTTGTTACCTGAAGAATACTTCTATGACAAGCTTCAATTACCAACCCCACCACCACCTCCCGAAAATAAATTTTCGAATCATACGAAATTAGTGTAAATAAATAATTAATAGAATATTAAACTTGTTTTGTCTCTACCTATACATGATGAATGATTGAGACGTAAAAAGCAAACGAAATAATACTCTCTTATGTATTATTTTATTTAACATCCAGTAGTAATATCGGTGACCGCTACATTTTTGTATAACTAGCAATAAATATTAAGATACATTTACATTACATTTCTTTAGATACAACAACCGTCTTTTAATTTTAATATTATTTTTTTTCATTTATCGTATAAAGTGGACCGAAACTGTCATTACCAAGAAATTTTTATTCGCCCCTGCTACATATAAAAATCTAGTTTATTTATAAAAGATTTTATTAAATTAATTATGCAATAAAGAGTTAAAATTTTAAGCTGAGAAAACAACATGTTTTACAATAACAGGGGGTAATAAAATTTTTTGTTTTCGTGAAGAGAATTCGACAACATATTAGTATGAACAAATCGTAAGACTTAGTTGCTATTTAGTTAAAGTACATTCCTATTTACGGTTACAAAATGAGACGTTATTCTGTCCAGACATTTTTTTACATTTATAACTAAAATTAAATCCATCCAAAACGAAAATCAATAACTATAACATCATAATAATATGGGCAGAGATTTTTTATTAAAATTAACACTATCGTTTGAAATAAAATACGTTATATAAAATTTCAAACAATAATCTTAATACTTGTCACATCCTATTGCTCTTAATTTGCGTATATCCACAATAAAATTTAAATTTTAACTATCATAAAACCTTCATTTTTATATAGCCGTTCAATAATTTAATCGAACAACAGTCATAACTATAGCAAATATTGATTTTTAATACAAATAATATGTCTAAATTATATGACAAACACAAACGTAATAAATAAATAATTTAAAAATTATAAAATCTCACTACAACATCGATAAAAAAACAGAGTCTTGTCGCACAAGAATTTTATGATAATTTATAAATCACAGGTGATTACTTACTGACTAGACATATATTAAATTTACACTTTCTCTCAAAGAGAATAGGGCTCTATTCAATATAACCCACAGAAGGTAACAAATGTATCCCGTTCATAAACAAAATGTAATTAAAATTAGTGATAAAATGTAAAAAAAGAAATCTTGTAAGTACAAAAAGTTAAATCTTGTTTAATTATAATATGTAAGACGGAACAATCAAAATATATAATTTTGCCATTTGTAAGTAATTTTAACAGATTATGAAAAAATATTCGTCCTCAAACCTTCATGTTTGATGATTTAATATTTATAAAGCCAATGACATATTTTACGACATGATTAATAAAAAACAAAAAAAAAAACTATTTGATTTTTTTTGTCATAAAAAAAAAGTCTCGAACATGTCAAAGCTATCCTTAACAAAGCCTTTTGTTAAACAATCTTCAACAATATAATATAGAAAATTAAAAAAAAAATTCGTTATTCATGTTACCGGTACATATTCTTACATCATACTAGGCGCACACCTCCTTTCATAGGCTTTTAGTGTTTGAGAATTAAATCTATCAAGACAAATACATCATTTAGAACATTATCTGGATTCAATAATACTTATTTAATGTACACACTGATTTAAAAACTTCTAAGGGAAATGACGTCACATTTAGTCGTTTTAAACATAGAAATCATTTGTATACTTCAGGTGCTTCATTTTATAAAAGGGGGTTACAATTCGGCGAAAATCATCGCGATTGTACAACACTCGTAGTCAAAGTTTATTTATTTATAATACTGAATATTGTCACATTCATTTTCATATCTTTTATATCCTCATAGAACCTCTTCGGATGTTTTTTTAGAAAATAAAATCTTAACAAACTTACTTTTTATAAGCATTGCAAATGGCGTTTATTACACAAAGCGAAAGTAAAATTTTAATTACAATATTTACATGACTGACCTGAATAGATATAGGTAGGTAGGAAAATGAAAAAAAGTAAGTAATAAAATAAAATATGTCATAAATATAATATGTCATATTTTATTTGGCACCGAGATTACAGGATAGCAAAATTTTGAATTTAGAATAAAAAAAACAGAGTCATAGATTTTGATTTGAAAGTCTCATTTAAAATTTAAAAAGCGATTAATTTTTTTATTAAGCAGAAGTTTTCTGTTTATTGATCAACGCGTTCAATAACTTGATCCTTGCTTTAATCGTCTTGTATTTCTGATATTCCTCTTCCTTGGTTTTCTTGTCGTCCCTCTGAACCTTCCTACTGTTCTGCTGTTCAAAGTTGACCTCGTAGTCTTTAATACATCTTCGAAGAATCTACAAAAACAAAGGGATTATTAGAAATTGTTATTACCACGAAATCAATACAGAAAACTTAAATTATCATTATTAAAGCTATCATCGTTTCATTACTTTAATTTTCAAAATAATTTGAAGTCTTTTATACAGTAGTTACTAGTAACTGTTTCGATGAATAATTTACCACAAAATAATAACAGTGCAACAGTTATTTTTTTTTAGATATAAACTTAAATACTAGAAAATTTCGTATTATTTCTAATATTGTCCTGGCGATAAGTTGGTTAATCCAAATTTTTGATGGATTTCAATATAGATTTCAAAGAAATATCCACAAGTAACTTGGATCATTATCTCATTACATTAAATATTCGTTAGTTGACACTGTGAATAAAGATATAAGGAAGACCGACCACTAAAGACATAAGTAGTGTCCATTTAGAAAAAAAAGAACATTTACTTAGGCCACTAAAGACATAAGTACTGTCCATACAGAAAAAATAAAAAAAAAACAATTAGGCACGCCGCTCAAGACATGAGTACTGTCCATATAGAAAATAATAATTAAAAAAAGAACATTTACCTAGGCCACTAAAGACATCCCCTCGTAAAAAAAGGCCACTAAAAGCATAAGTACTGGCCATATACAAAAAAAAAAGATTTAGGCAGCTTACACATTTCTGCATCTTGGCTTCAGCGAGTGCTCGCCCTAACTCCTCTAGGCCGAGACAGTGTAGACCCTCGTTGGGAGCCTCCTCGCTGGTGGCGGAAGGCGCGGAGGACGTTGATGACGGTAACTCCTCGCCATCACGTGTTGGAGGTGATTGGAGAGCGTCTTCATTCTCCTAGAATGTCATATAGGATTTATCGTTTAAAAAGTTACTATTAATAATTTTATCGATTTTTGTATATGGAAAATACTTGTGGTATGATAATATGAACATAAAATTACAGTTCACTTTTCATGTTTGTAAAGTTTAAAGTTTCCTAAAAATATCTAATCATATACAATGTCTTATTCGAACAATTGCTAGGCTTCCATTAATAATAATTGTATTCATTTCGTTTACATAATTTTGACACTTAATCTGGTTCATTCATTCATTCTTGCTTCAATAAATAAAATGACATGATAGCTTGAAATTATTTCATAATAATGTTTACCTACTGAAACATTAAACTACAGGTTATTTGTAAGAATATTTATACAGGAATATTAGGTACTCTTCTTAAACTATCCTCCTAGTGAAACCAAACATATTCTGAATGTAAGTTCCCAAAGCTACTACGTAATCTTCTGTGAGGTAATCTCAATATTACCTGTGATGTATCCGAAGGTTTGTCTTGTGAGTCGCTGGAACTATCAACGCTCGTGTTGAACAACATTGTTTCATGTTCGTGTATTGTAGCCAACTCGCCGTTAGTACCGCCGATTATCTGTAACAATAAGTTACTTATAAAGTAATGTTTATTTTCTTTTCATGTTTTATTACTTGCTTCATATAATGCTAATTAGATTAATGTATATATAATATTCTCAATTCTAATATCAAAGCAGTTATTTTCATATCAAACCGTTGTTTCAGACTTATTAAACTGAAACACTGATTCAGTACAAATCAAAAATTTGTACTAATCAGTCTTTGGATTAGTTATACTTAGGTACTCGTATACTATATTAACATAGTAAAAGTGTATCATAACTGCGTATTTCTCATATAATCATTCGCTACGAACAATTTAAAATATCATGCGATTCGCATCATTAAGAAAAAATCTTCCAACATAATCGTGTAAACTATGGTAGGTATATAAATGAAAAACTGCAAAACAATCTTTATTCAGTTTAAAATTCACACTCGGGATTGGTTATCGTGTGTGTTATGTTTGACATTTAGTAACAATACAGAATACACATATTGAACAATGTTCACGGATTATATATACATACTAGAAGACCCGGCGAACTTCGTATCGCCCTATAATCAAGAAATATCTGTTACGTTTTTTTTTATTTGTATTTTTAGAGTTTACCTATTAATATAAATCTCCGTGTTTTGAAGTGCGACAGAATGATTGACATATTAGTTAATTGTCATATCTAATGTCAAAAAAAACGTTTGTATCAACAACTATGTACTAATAAATTAAAAAAACATTATACAGCGGACAAAATTGTGAATCTAAACCATTCCCAGATCCCCTTGAGCACACACAAAAAATTAGATCAAAATCGGTCCAGTCGTTTGAGAGAAGTTCAGTGACATACACACTCACAGAAGAATTATATATATAAAGATGTATATATGTGTGTGTGTTTGTGTGTGTGCGTGTGTTGTGACAATTACCGAATCAGGTCTATGTGTAGCGAGTGCTCGTTTGACGGCCCTGTATCTTTCATATAGATGTCGGGCTGCGCCCCTTTCAGCGGAGTGCGCGGGCGGCCGGCCCCGGGCTGCCTCGAGGCGGAGTAATGCTCGTTGGACACAAGCCTTCTCCGCTGCCAATTGCGCTGGGGTCCAACTCGATTCTGGTATCGACGCTCTACCCTCCGCTTGCCTACAGCCTTCTACCCACTGTAAATTGAATTGATTGATTGATGTTTTTTTCTCCAATAAAATAAAATAAATTAGAAATTTTTCTTAGACCTTGTTTGTATTATCGAAATGAATTCTATATGAATTTTCATTTAATTGGAGATTTTAACTAAATGAGCACATACAGCATGTCAATGTGTTAGAGCAATCAGTTTGATTTATCCGTAATAAAATGTTAAGTATCGAGAAATGGAAGTAACAAATTAAAAGTTTCTGATTACTATTAAATTCAACGCATACATTCGAGATACAGTATCAGACTTGATTTCTAATGTTCAGCGCTACATCCAGTAATATCCTACAAAATGTTTGAAGCCAGTATATATAGCTTTCAAATACAAGGTAGGTACTTAAATGTTGCCATTACAAATTTACAAAAATTCTGTGTTATAATTAATTATTATCAGTCATGAAAATAATTCTAAGGATTATGGCATATTATAATTAGTACAGTACTGATCCCGCCACTTGCAACACGTATCCGTATACTTCATTTAAATACTAACTTTATCCTAAATGAATATATGTATGTATATTTCATTTCAATATAACGTATCCTCAGTAATAAGTCCTCACCTCTTCAATATCCACAACAACATCAGCCATCGGCTTATCACTCTTCAGAGCTACATTCAGTTTATCATCTCTTTCCTTCTGTTGTTTCGCAGCTTGTAATTTCAGAGCATACTCCACGGGATCAGCTTTTATACATCTCTTCTCCAATTGTAGCTGTCTCAAAGTTTCGTACATTCGAGTTAATTGGACATCCGTCATACGATCCCCTTGAGTTATGCTGTAACCGTGCTTAACTTCGAATTCGCTCTCGTATTTGGCGATGTTTTTCTTGAGGACTGTGATCTACAATAAAAAGAGGATATTTAATCTTCTTTTATGTAAGATAGGACATAATTATTTAAATTATTTGTACATTGCTTGGAAGTCTTGTCAGTAATTACACAAGTACTGTTATTATTAACTAAGCAAGGTATGTTTATAAAGCATGCTAGGTTTACATCCAGAAGACTGCAACTTAATGACACTCTGTTTAGCTTAGATTTTATTTTGTATGCATTAGTTGGAGGTCAGTTTTGTAAACTTAAATAAAAAAATATATATATCTTTAAACTTCCTTACTTACAAACTACTAACTTCTGTATAAGTATTTCACTTAATATAATGTCGATACAGTACCTACCTCCTATGTTCCTTACCTTTTTGCTAATCTTCTCAAGTCTCCTATCAGGGCTGGGTTGCGCGCGTCGTGGAGGCTCGCTGCGCTCATCACGACGAGTATACTCGGCTTCTTCATGACGTTCGCTTGCTATTGCCTCCATCGACGGCTGGGATTCTTCACATACTAAACACAAAAATAAACACTCAATAATTTCATTTAAATGGACGTATGGTAAAAAATGTTCACGCCAACTATACATATTACAGTATAGTCGACAAAGATTATGTAAATTTTGCATCAACTGAAAGAAGTTACTCTATATTAGAATTGTACCATAATCTATTTAGTACGAGAAAAACAAATAGAATTAAAGAAAAATATGTCGGCAGTGTTATGTAAAATGGGATTTAACTGTCAAGACGACCTATAAGTAAAGTCACATTTTCCATTTGCCACTGGCATCACGTAAATCATCTTAATTATTTCCGACCCCTCACTAAAATAATATAAGTTCTTAATATTTAATCATAATAATCATCAAGTCATTTTTACGAAAAAATTCGTCTTCGTCTGACATAATAAGTCGCCATAACTCACGTTCAGGTTTCTGTTGCACGACATAGTCGAAGAACGGCGGTGTGGCGATACGAACGTCTTCGTGGCCGTGATCGTGGTAATCATTCTCTTTGGGTTGACGCGGCAGACGTGCTGGGCCACGTCGACGTTTGCCGCCGAGTTGCGGGCGACGGGCGCGGGAAAGTCTTTCCGCACGACGTTCCGACTGAAGTTTATATAAATAATATATATTTACTTGTATATGAATGAACAATATGATATTACTAGCCGGAAATATGATGACAAAAGCTTTGGTATCACTCGTGGGGGCTTTAAACAATGTGGCATAAAAATTGTAATGTCAGTGGTAGAGCTTAGGAATGTTACTCGTAACATATAAAACTGATTTTTTTTCTCAGGTTTAAGGACAATTCAAAATTTTATCAATGCTAGACTGACATAGTTTCGCAAGGTTACAAAGTAATACAAGTAACAGAATATATTTTTATTATCTTATGTTCTATAGCCCACTGAAAAGACTGTTGAAATCCTTTCTTATACCGTTTACGACAACCCACAAGCGTGTATGTTACGGTTCATTTTCATTCATTGAAAAGAGTCTAGTATTTGAAAACGAGAAAGAAGAAAACAATATTAATGTATTCTATAATATTAGTTTGTTATATAATATATAAGGTACATACCTCAAGTCTGTTATAGTCGTGTAGCGGAGGCGGGGGCGGAGGCGGCGGCGTCCGCTCCTCGCTGTGAGGTCTTCGCTCTTTCCGCTCATGAGCACAGCCGGAGTCGCGTCGCTCGCGACGTTTGCGTGCCTCCCTCTCGCACTCGGGCGCTGCCATATCTTCCCTCTCCTTCTCCCGCTCGTGACGCTCACGGCACTGCGCACGCCAGCCGTGTCCAGATATAACAACACGTCGCTCGCTCGAGCACTCTGAATCGTGCCCGTAGCCCTAACATGTGCATGTATTAGTGTAATGATATATGTCCTGTAAGCTCAGTTGATAAGCCTCTTGTAATGCTTGTATGTGGATGTTGACGTGGCATATGAATAGCGCTAATGTAATGTAGGTACATAGTGTTCATCTCGTTTATTCTATAATGAAAAATTCTATTTGTGGTAATACTATATTATATAGTAACAAGCGTCGCGGGTTGTACAAGACGTCCTAAACATCAAGCGAGGATACTGAAAATGTTTAACTGAGCTAATAATTTTCAGCAACCTCTTTCTTTTTGCTAAGCGTATTTAGGAAGCTATAAATGCCTGTATTTTGTACATTAATCTCGTATTTACATAAGACACTACGATAAAGATCTCTAATGATGATAACCCCACAGCCGAATAACTTTCACAAGTACCTGATGAATTTCCAATAGAACCATGTTCGCTTCAGGCTATAACTTTATTTCGAAATAAATTTCCCAAATTGCCAAAAGAGATTCTGCCGTTATGTGTTTCTGAAATTAAATTTTTGATGCTGACGTAACTTTTAAACGGTGAGGTTCTGTCTGCTGTGTACCTACTACCAATCAACCAATTTTATTGACCATAAAAAATATGCACGAATGTCGCAAACAAAGAAAACAATTAACGTCAAAATGGCTAAGCATAGTAAAAGAAAGTTTTGACAGTCTGTCACCTTATTTGGGACGCGTCCAACAAAATTACAGATACTTAAGATTACCTACTTTATGACACCTACTTTATAAGATTAATTCTAGTACTTACAGTAAATACTACCATTTATCTACCATAGTATTCTGTGAACGTATTACATTCATTTACAATATGACTTTTATATTTATTTAATCGAAAATAATATCGTTTGAATACATTGTATACTCACAATACAATATCTCGCAGCTCCTACAATGGAGTCCAAGATTCTGGAAATGTTGTGCCGGCTGCGACTGGCCAGGGTAGATCTGGGTCCCGAGCCTAGTCGAGACCCGGCCCGGATAACAACCAATCACAAACAACCGGGTTATTGCTTATCCTTTTATGTAAAACAAAATGAAAGAAACAAAACGTAAAGGCAGCGCCAATTCGGCCGCCGTTTTGACGGTAAAATAAAAACTACACTAGGCCCACGCCTAAAGTTTATTTTATGATGTCCTTCTGCACCAACATATCTCTATCACGGCACATATTGTAACAATAACGTCTCTTTATATATAACTCTCTGTGCAAACTCACGGCTGTTTCAAAAAATGCGTTGAAACGAGCCTGTAATTTAGCATTGATAGTTCAAATACAGTTTTTCAAGCTAGTAGCCGCTAGCAAAACTGAAGGATTATTTCCGTCATGATTGAATTTTGTTTTGATTTTTATTTTTACTGAAATTTATATGTTATGTCAATTAACGTCTATCATTTTTATGACAGCACTGCACTAGACACTGACAGATAATATTTTTATTCTTAAACGGCGAAGGTTACGCGGATCTGAAACAAAAAAAAAAACAAATATTAGGATAAAATTTTAACATTAAAATAAAAATCTAATAATCTAATAAAATGTAAGATATTTTATTTAACAAAGTGTTATTAGAGCAACATTATTTTATCTTTATATACTTTTTAAACTCAAATCATGCCAACAACAATACGTATTTAAGTTTAAAAAAAACCTTTTACGTATTTTTTACATGGCTTCATACAATAATGACTGGGATTACATTTTTTTTTTCAATTGTGAATTCTTTGGTGTTAGTGTTGCTATTTTTTTTTCAATAGCTTAATTTATCACAATTATTAACAATATAATATTTGTATTACTTGTTACATATTCGGTGTGTCAGATTAAAAGGAAGAAAAAATAGTTTTTATAAATTAGCGTTTTATTTAATAGTGTGAAAAGTTGCAAGATCTATTCATAAATCTAAGAGATGTTTAAATTATTATTAACTCTATAACAAGGAAACACCATGCCTTCATCTATTTATTCAAATTTAAAGACTTTATTATAATAAAAAGTTTATTAATATTTTAATGCGTTACAAGTGTTTGCGATCTAAATACATCACTTTCCAGTTTTTTTATTGTACCCAGGGAGTGATGCTTGCTTCACCAGGAAGCGCTCTGTCTAGAACTTATCTGAATATCTTAATGTATTTAACTAAACATTAAAAAGACACTCAACTACATTTAAGTATTTAAATAGCATTCTTAATTTTAACAATTATTGTTAAAAATAATAAAAGAACTTCAGTATATTGAATACAATTAGAAAATCAGCAATCGTATTGTATTTTAATCAATTAATTTTGTTAGCAAATAGAAAAAACCGAAGACTCAAACTATTTATACATTTATAAATATGCTGTCCTGTAAACAAAGTTTATTTGTCTATAAAATCTCTGCGGTTACACGACCGAAGAGACGTCGGTAAATATTCCATATTTAGGTACATAACACGGAATTCATAATATATTCCAAAGCGGCTACGAATTGAAAATATTACTTTAATTTTGTAATAAAATAGGAAAAGTTTTGTTATTAAAACAATATCATTGCTAAACTTGTTTGACAACTTTATACAAATAAGTACTTCTGAAAAATAATAATTTAAACGATACTTTACTGAGTCTTGTTATTTACTAAAATTACAATTTATTATTTTAAATCAATCTCACTGTTTCTTTTTACGTAACTGTAGGTAATAAGTTCGTATATGTAATCTGGAAGTGTATAAATCAATTATAAAATGAATATATTTTTCAGTCAAGCCTATGTAATATATTTTGTATTTCGATAAACCGTAGTTTTTAAACATATAATAATAATATCAATTTTAATTAAAAGAAATATGATGTAACTTTGTTTAATATCATCAGAGTAGTTAAGGACAATATATTTGAGATGTGAAAACATATCTCGTCTTTCTGTGATCACGGTTGCTGAAAAGTAACCGATACATCGTGTGGTCCTAATCCTAAAATATTGGATTCATTTAAATGAATACTCGCAAAAGTCTTACATCTCATTATACAATTGCTAGAGACAATTCAAAATGCTACATTTAGTATTTGAAACTAGTTTCACAAAATTTACCAATAGTTGTGTGTGTGTGTGTGTGTGACATATGCAAAAACTAAAATAGATTAATATATGTACGTCTCGCTTCATGTGACAAATCCTTGGCTTTATAAGAAATTGCGTAATAAATTTTCATATCAGGTATTAATATCATTTATTGATTTAAATTAATAAAACTTTTAAATTGAAACTAAGTATAATATGGATAGAAAATCTTTTTCTACTCTTAAAACATTAGGGCGATGGAAAATCTTTTAGGTGATTTCCTTCTGATCGGAAAATTAAGGTTATATGTAGTTTTTTCTATTAAATGTATAAATAACTATTCACATTTATATTATTTTTGCCGACATCCGTGTCAAAAAATATTTACATACACGGTGTCCAGTAAAGAATGGATAACCTTGAAATGTCTTATAGAAGAACTTATGGCCATTCAGAAAAAATATGAAACAAAATATATCCTAAGGAGTACTCAAGATAAGTTTTTTTTAAAGAAATTCAATTTTTTTTTACCTTATTTTACTTTCTTGAAATACTACGGCCAGAAATGAAAGAGTAACGTCGGTTTTTTGTTGTTTTATTATTATACACTAACTATGATGATAGATAGGTACATAATGTGACTAGCTACAGCACATTTCTTTTTTTAAAATACACAAATGAGCTTAATTCGTAAAAATTATCAAAATTTATTTTTTTAACAAATTTTAAACAGCTTGGGTATAAAAAATGTATGGATACATGAGTGACCTATCTTTTTAAAATAATGTCGGTTTAATGCAGATTTTACAATGATTGGTCACTTATGTCTCCATACATTTTTTTTATACCCAAGTTAGCTAAACTTTGTTAAAAAAAAATTGATATTTTTTTACAAATGAAGCTAATTTGTGTATTTATAAAAAGAAATGTACTGTAGCTAGTCACATTATGTACCTATCTATCATCACAGTTAGTGCATAATAACAAAACACCAAAAACCATGTAATTCATTCATTTCTGGTCATAGTATTCGAGAAAGTAAAATAAGGTAAAAAAAATTATAAATTCTTAAAAATAAACTTATCTTGAGTACTACGTTGTTTCATATATTTTTCTGAACGGCCATAAGTTCTACTATAAGACATTTCAAGGTTATCCATTCTTTACTGGACACCCTGTAAATAACAATTGTTTATGTTTATTTTTCTCTGAATATTGTAATCTGCGCTATGCTAAGTCTAAGTTGGCATCGTCACTCTCCTTACCGAGGGTTAACAGTATTTCATTAATATATCCTGCAAAATGATAATATCTATACTAATATTATAAAGCTGAAGAGTTTGTTTGTTTGTTTGAAAGCGCTAATCTCCGAAACTACTGGTTCGAATTGAATAATTCTTTTTGTGTTGGATAGTCCAGTTATCGAGGAAGGCTGTGGGCTATATAACATCACGCTACGACCAATAGGAGCAAAGATATAGTGGTAAATGTGTAAAAACGGGAGAAATTATTTCATCTTTGAAGCCTTCCGTTGCGTGCGCCGTGAAAACGGTTCAAGATACACAAAAAATATGTACTAAAGAATAATGGCTCTTTTAATGATCTAAAAAACAGTCCGCGACAGTATATGTCTATCTTTTAAGATTAACTCACAAAAACCGTTTTTATGGTACCTAATTTGGTCGAAATAATTTGTTTAAGTTGTATCAACATAATAATATTAATCTTTATTCAAATAAACAAATAAATATGTTGTTGGTTAAGAGTACTTAATTGTGAATAAAAAATAAACATAGGTTTTATCCTGGAAATTCTACGGGAACTCGACCATTCCGAAAACCCCGCAAGATCGGGAACTATGTGGGAAGAATCAAAAATCTGCCGGAAGTCACTATTCCACGCGGACGGAGTCGCGGCAAAAGCTAGTTAAAAGATAAAAGGTTATTTAATGAAAGACGAGCAAATTCTCGTATGTAGTGTGACGATGCAAGCTTGGACTAACGGCCTTTTCCTCTAACATAATAATTCGACCTAACTAATGTAAACCGTAAATTTACTTGTATCCAGAAATAATAATTCACATTGAATTCCATTTGTAATGAATTGTCTAGTAATATAAATATTATACATTGTAAACAATAGTGAAGTGTTAATTATTTTGTAGTAGTTTACACAATGACGGTCTCATCGTAGAAGTTACAATGTAATAATATTAGCAATTAAATGTACAATTACGTTCATTTCAATATTCTATGTATTCCACTGAGAGTTCAGATGAAATAAAAATACAACAATATTTATAACTTATTATTGTTAGTGACAGATCAAAAGAAAATATCAGTTTTCCTCTGATAATGTTCTGACCTAGATAAAATTTTGGATTATATTTTATATATTATATATTTAAAGAAAACAGATACAATATATTAAGAAGTTCAAAATAAAAATAAATTCAAGAATTAACAAACAGCGTTTGCTTGAAAATTCTTTAAAAGAGATGTGTTTTCTTGTGCAACAACTAATATAATAAGCTTAATAAATTCTTTCAAGAATCTGTTAATTTTTCCATCTACATTTTTACAAGGTTGAAGATGACGTTATACTTTGCTAGTTTTATTTAATAAATGCAATACAGTCGATATTTCTGTAAAAAATATCGGTAAGCAATGAGTACTATGTGTTAATTTCATCGATTTTTCATGAAACATACGTTTAGTGCAAGTTTTATACTATTACTTACGAAATGTTTCCCGTTTTTCATTCAATGGACTACGTAAATATCAGTTGAGAAGATTTATGAATGATAGACTTGTAACTATCCTAGTCAGTGGTGGCCTAGTGTTTAAAAGGCCCGCCTCTCATGCCTGAGGGCGCGGGTTCGATCCTAGCAACTACCAATGTGATTTTTCCAAATCATATGTACTTTCTAAGAGTATTTAGACATCAC